TATATCGGCTATTTTATTTGATTAAAATTGTGATTAAAAAATATTTAAGTATTTTTAATCGATTATTTCGAAATTTTTAAAATTTCTTAAGTAAATTTAATTGATTATTTTAAAGATATATCAATTAAAATTTTAACAGAAAGTTTTTTTAAACTTCATAAGTGAATTTAATCAATTACTTCAAAAATGTATTGATTAAAACTTTGAAAGAAAATATTTTTAAGTTGTTTAAGTGATTTTAATCTATTATTTAAAAATATATTAATTAAAATTGTAACTAAACATGTTCTTAAATTGTTTAAGAAATTTTAATCGTTTATTTTAAAAATGTATCAATTCAAGTTGTAATAAAAATTATTCTTAAGTTGTTTAAGTGATTTTAATCAATTATTTTATTTTAAAAATTTATCAATTAAAACTTTGAATGGAGAACATATTAATCGATTAGAACGATTTTTAACATATCAAAAATATTTGAGACATTTTATATTTTGTAAAAGAAAAAAATACATGCTTAAGAAGATGATAAATATTTATACACAAAATATAGATACAGACACACTAATGTATTAATACAACATCTTCTTTTAACTTTATCAAATCTTTTAAGAAGTGATGTGAACACACTTACTAATTACCAAATTTTACTATTCTTTAATGCACTTTTATTTTTTATTTATTTTTATCACACTTTATTTTTTAGCATTGATTTTTTTTAAATTATAAAATGAAGTAAAACTTTTTTATATATATACTCATAGTAACAAAAATAAAATATGTATTAGATTCAAGTATATGTAATTTTTTAATCACTTTCATCATATTTAACATTATCACAATTTTCTTTCAATAAATTCTTTTCCAGTATTTTTTTTACTACTTTTGATATAATATTGTAAAAAGTTATATTTAAAAGAAAATTACTCCCTTCAAACTCAATTATATGCAGTTCATTCCAAATTTATTATTCAAATAATTGACATTTTTTCAATGATTCTTTATTTGTTCGTAATATAAGTTTCAAAAAAGGAAACTTTACGAGGAAAATTAATCAGTATACTCTTTGATATATATATATATATATATATATATATATATATATATATATATATATATATATATATATATATATAAGATAATGCAGATTTAAATGAAAATAAATTTCAATAAATACGATTAATAATATGATTAATAGAATTAAATGAATTAACTAACTCGTTTTTGTTAATGCAAAAGGGTAAATTAGATGCAAAACTTATAACATTTTATAATAACAAAAAAGTGTTAGTAAGTAGCAATGTTTTTAAAATTCAACTAGTTTAATCGGATTTAATTAAATATTATTTTTATAATATAATAAATTTATTAATAATAATATTTTTTATTAAAAAATAGTAAAAATTATTTTTATAATTATCATAAATTACAATAAAAATTATAAATATAAAATATTTTAGAAAATAAAATAAATTTATTAAAATAAAGAAAATGTAATAAAATAATTATTATTTAAAGTTAACGTAATTAATATAAAATAAAAATACTAAAATATATTATACTTTTTATAAAAAAATATATTAAAAAATTACTTGACAAATTATTTATTTATTTATTAAAATCTATTCTATGTAAAGAGTTGAATTGATTTTTTTCAAATTTAATTAAAATATGATTATTGAAAAGTAATAGACCGATTTAATGAAATAGAGATTGATAAAATTTGAATAGTAATAGCGCGTTTTCTTTACTGTTACTGGATTTTAGGTCATGTTGATAAATCAATGTAGTTGAGTGGAACCCTCTTTTTCAAGAGAGTGGAACTTTAATTATGAGATGGAGGAATAAAAAATGATATATAATACTAGTGGTCCGCATTTAGTTTTAGAACTTTGAGAAACTTTTGAGGTTACCTACTACCAAGGTATATTATTTGATTCAAAACTTCTAGATGAAAGAAAAAGTAAAATTTGAGATTGATTGTATGTTCAGAATATTGCAAGAAGTTCACTTCCACCACATGCATGCTCAAAATTCGAAAGATTTCAGTGTCCTGTGTTGAAAAGTATAACACATCTCCAACCATGTTTGAAAGAATTGGCATTCCACCACCAATTCAATATATTTATATTTCCTTCACTAAGTTGAGTCTACTGAGAATTAATTTCACATTCATTTCACCCTAAATTATACTTCTCAAAAATAATCTCAAACTATATTCTATTTTATCTTTTCACTTAGATATCACTTAACCCCTAAAACATTGAGTAATCGACCAATCAGTAATTATAATTTGTGTATCGGATGCAACACAATAACAATCATTAAACCATGTTTAGTTTATCAAGATTGTCCCAATATACATAATATATTCCCTCATCTTCTTTTTACCCATAATTCTTGCATTCACATTTACTTGATTTTCCTTCCAATTCCGAATACCTAAAAATATCATATTGCTAGTCATATAAAAAATGGTAAAATTACAGCACAAATTCTCAATCATTATGCATCATAATTCCTGCTCCAAAAATATGCCAAAAGAAATCCAGTAAATTAAGAAACCCACTCCAAGGTCCTTGAGAGCAATAGCCCCATTAATTCAAAGTTTCATCTGAATTATTTTAAAATTGTGATGTTGAATCAATTATTTTTCAAATGTTAAATGAGTTCTCATCTTGCCCCACCACACATTGCTCCACATTTTCAAATAATGCAGCACCTCTACAGTAGTAATACCCAAATTTCTTTGCTTCCATCATATGCTATACCCAAGTTTTAAAGGAGGAGAATGAAGATGCTACTTTGTTGTTTCTATCAGTGGTTTTAACATTTAATTTCACCCTCCAAAATTTATGAAGCTAAAAAGACAAGGAATATATATATCAAGTTTGTAGGAGAACATTATCTTATATAAAAATCCAAGTCCTAAACCTTCTTCTCTGGTTTTTCCCATTTATTCCTTTAACTTTTGCTTACCCTTTCACTCAATCTGTGGAGTCTGAATCTTGCACAGTGAAATTTTTTACTTTTCAATATCTTCAATGGAGGTCTCAATCACACGCTTCCGAGAAGGTGAACGTCAGAATGATAAAAAAATCATTGGCTGACTGTTTCTAATGATTACATACACTCTTAAGAGCGAATAAAGATTTGTGAAGTACTTAATATAACTTTTTAATATTTATAATAATTATTTTAAAAATACGTTTAATGTATTGTCAATATAAACTTTTTCATACTGATGATATATATAAAAGTTAAATACTTAATTTGTATATGCATGTATTATATATAATAATGTGATAAAGTGATCAATTTTTGTTAGATGTTGTTGATTGTCTCGTTGACTTATCACATCATTTCATGGTGAAGCAATTCAATTATTTTGTTCTGTCAGTTTCAAACATGTTTCAAGTTATAAATACGTAAGTAAAAAGAAAAATCTTTTCAAAATAGTACCGTTTCAGAAACTAGTTTTTGAAAGGTATTGTTGAAAAGTGTGAGCCACCAGTACCATAAACTACATTACATTTATTAAAACAAATATATTATGAAAACTATTTTTTGTAATGTTTATAAATGTTAATTCATTACTAAACAAATTTTTTTATTTGATAATGTATAATTATTATATCATGAAAACTAGCATCAATAAATTTTATGAAAAGGAAAAAAAAAATGAAAGATCGAGATAACTAGGAGGGGAGGGGGGTGAAGGTGAGAGGGAAGAGGGAAGAGGGGTACTTTATGTATTTCAAAAAGCCCAAAACCTGGAGAGGTGTGAAGAGCAAACATTTGGACTAATATAATAGCAATTCATCAAAAAGCAGAGGGATAAGCGTAGGAAACAAACCCAACAGAAACTTAAGAAGGAGGTTATCCAAAAGCCCAAGCCCAAGCCCAAAGCCCAAAACCAGGGCAGAACACCGACGGTGCCAATCTTAAATCTGCTTCCCTCAAATATTATAAGATGACATATTAGTTCGTAGAATGAATGGTTTTGATTATTAGATTGGAGGTTCCATGTTGAGGTGAAGAAATAAGGTGGGAAAGTTAGTTAGAATAAAATAAGGAATGAGAAAGCTTTGAATTGGGAAAGTTTGGATTAGGTCGTGGAAACAAAGTTGGTGATGAGATGACATTTCTCTGTAGCTGTGGCCGCCCCCACCACAAAACGTGATGTTATTAGTTAAAACGCATTTTAATTAATATGTTGTTGGATGATGCCAGGATTTGACCAAATTGCCCAAAACGAACCAACCACACACTTACTTTTTTACTCGTTGCAACCAACAATAGTTTAATTCTTCTAGTTACTGCCGTCACCAAAATAAAATCAGAATTTGTGTTTATTACAGTACAACCCCTCAAAATAATATGCTTTAGATCATTTTTCATTACGGTTGAGAAAATAAAAAAGTAAGACAAGAGTTTTCTTGGATGCTAAAATCAATCATCTATTATATATTTGAAGATAAAAACTTATTTAAACCAAAAAATAAAGTTAAATTAACCTTAATATCTATGTTGTTAGAAACGTTAAACGAAACAGTTTACATGTTAATTTTTGCTCATTAAAAAATATTAATGTATCGTTTTCTCTAACTTATAAAGTAAATTAGCTAAGCATAACCTAAATCTGGCAGAACCTAAAGACACCAGAACATGGAATAAACAATAAACATTTAAACCAATTACATTTTGATTATTATTCTGTCTAGAAACTCATATTGAAGTGACCATTTGTCCATAAAACACGAACAATTTCTTAAGCATCAGAAACCCATATCCACAACTTAATTACACAATATACCATCAAGCGTATGAAGAGACCCTTTTGGTTGTTTTCCATACGCTCAAAATTTCGAAGTCGAAACGAAGAACCAAGATTCCAGACACTTGAAACCACAAACTTGAACTCTTGAATCAACCCTCTACAGTGATACTATCACTTTCCTTTCACAGAACTAGTTGGTCTGCACCTTCAGCTGTTTTGTTCTTCAGGTACGAACCAACTTGCTCCATAGTGCTGCTGTTCGTGCTGCAATTCGACGATGTGTCAAACACTGATGTGGGGACTGAACCCCGGAGGAAACAATGATTTGGGTGGCAGAAGAAGTAGGGTTGTTGGAAGAATGTGAAGGTGAAGAGAATGAAGCTGGTGCTTGAATTTGAAACCTTCCTGAGTCACCTGGAAGTCTCATGTATGAGTAAGAGGGTGACTCACAAATCCATGATCCTATAGGACCCTCTTTTCCACTCTTGTATTGCATTATGGCCTTGTAAACAAAAGGAATCAGACCCTCCATTTTTAATGTGTGTTTATCAGTTTGAGAGAAGAAGACACAGAGAAAGTAAAGGGTTTTTGAGTTTTGGTTTGGCCTTTGTGGGGGGTGTCTCAAATGCGGTGAATGATGAGTGGAGAATACGTTCAATTTCTAGGGTATAAAAAGGGTTGGAGGAAAATGATGACGTTGAGAAAGTAGTATTGGATGAGAGTCCAATTCTTCACGCAAAGCCAGGAAATTTTCAACTCTAGCTCACACGTATGACCTTGAAAGCTACGTGTGAACCAACGCCTTCGTATAGCACACAAGTTTAGCAAAACTTTCTTTCATTACTGTCACCTAGCTGGTTTTGTAGTAGCCTTTGTTTGATGGGTTTGAGCTTTTGGAACAAGATTGAATGGTTTGAGTTTGATGGGGTTTGAAGTTTGATTTTTAATTTTTAATTTATTAATTCCCTCCCAAACTATTGACGGTCACTGGTTTCTTCATAGTTTGGTTTTATTTTCAATTTTAATATTTTCTATACTCTATTTGTTTGTTTAGATGTTATTTTAAAGTAAGGTGCTGATTAAATTAACAATTTGTTCATTCAATGGCGGCCACTTGCACCTGTGTCTGATGTGTGAGCTTGACATATATACATATATATATATATAAGATCTTTACTATGTATCATGTTTTGCATATGAAAATTGATTAATGCATATGAAACGCGTCACTTCATGTTTAGGTATGTGACAAGATTAGAATGTAGGTGCATGAAAAATAAGATAAATCAGTTTAAATTAAATAGCAGATGAATATATTATATATGTAAAGTGGAGTAGCAGGTTGATGCATATCATTTTGGTTGTACACCTTGATATATCATCCACTTTTTTTAATTTGTTTCTTCTTCCTTATTTAGATATAGATGTTCATTGGTCAGCTTTAGAGTACAAGAAAAAGAATTGGAGAAAGTGTAGATTTTGATTTCGTGTAAAATCAAATTAAACGTGAATTCGTGATTCAGATGTGCACGAGACAAGTCAAAGACAATTCCTGTTGATTGGACGCAAGCTTAATTAAGGTCTATCCCCATTGTGCACCCTTCATATATATACATCAACTTTGTCTTAGTTACCAAACTTAATTACACATCCATGCTTCAAGACAAACTGAGGAAACAAAATGAAGGAAAGATCAAGAGAAATATTAAATGTATATTCTACTCTAATTTTAGACTGATCATATTTGAACCGCTGAACTTTCAATTAGTTTTATCAACAGTTTAGTGACAGGTCTGGTGAAATATTTAATTAAGTTAAAAGTTGATGGTTGTTGGGAAAAATTCACCCCCACAAAAACTATGCTTACATGGTCAAATTGAGCTACAATATGTATTTTCAATTTCTTATTTTACGCAATATATTGTGACCAAAGTAAATTCTTATAACTTTTTAAATTCATAATCAATTTACTAGCTCAGAAGTTAGAAGCTTCTCTAAAGGTTATATAAACATTAGAATTTATACTTATTACTTTATTAGAGACCGTTTGATCCACCTGTTTGATATATGGTTGTGTCAGAACTCAAAAGTCTATATTATAGATAAGTTCGAAACCAATTTGCCAGTAGAAATAGGCGAGAAGTCAAGCGAAATGATTAATTTTATATTTAGTCAACGATCTCAAAAAAATTTAACAGAGATAGTCTAACTATATGAACATTTTTACATAATATTATCCTTTTTTTCTAATATTCTGTTCACGAAAGAGACTTTTATATATATAACAATTATTGTGTTTATCGAATTTTATAAAATAATTTTGTGATAGATGTTAAAACGTTGTTAAGTCAAATAGATTGCTTAAACGTGTTAGCTCATGGATGATTTATAATCAAATATTATCCATGCTTTTATATGTTGATTGAGGCCGATAGAGTTCATTCTTAGCCCTAGAAAATGTTCGTTATTTTAAAATTAAAAAAAATAAAATAGTTTTTATTAAAGATCGAGATTAATATTTATAGTCTTAAGATATCGTTTGAGCTTAGGCATGTCATGATGCAATTTTAGTTGGATTTCAAATTCGGTATCGTAATAGTTCACCAAAAAGAAAACAAAAAATCTTTGTCGTAAGTTATTGGCTTTGGTTTGGACCCAACATTATAGTATTAGTAAATCCAAATAACATTATGAGCAAAAGGGAATAAGTTATATCAACTTAATTAAAATTTATAGCATTAAGCCACAAAATCACTTTATTATATATAGTCAACTTTTTCACTATAGTAAAAAAATAATCAAATGATAGAAACTGTTTATAAAGTAAAATAAACTTCATCGTTCTTTAAAAGTTACAGTTTCATTGTAACACTTATCATCATGTTAAAATGCGTAATTGTAGTTTATATCTCATCATATTATTCAAGTTGTTTTGAGTTAGTTGAATCAAGCATATATTTTTATTTCTCATCTTAATTTATTAAAATTCTTTTTAAAAATAAAATTAGAACACCGTCGAATTTAAAATTAAACAATATTTTAAATATGGTAACTATTATAAATAAATACATCTTTAGCTTGTATTAATTAGAGAGAAAATTTAGGAAAGAAAATGTTTTTGTTAAAACAGTTAATATAATATTAAATATATTTTTATTATTATTTTTAGTTGTACAACTATTTATCAAGTTTTTATATTAAACTTCACTTATCTTTAATTTCAAAAAATATTTTTTTATTTAATATATTATTCTACAATCATTTAAGTATTATCAATTTTGAGAACAATTTTTATATACTTTTTTACCTTAATGTATTAAAACTTCTTTTAAGAATCAAATTAGGACAAAGAATTCGAATTCCAGAATGGATCAAATGTGATAATTATTACAAACGATTATTTTTATCATATCTTAACTATGTGAAGAATTGGGAAAGAAGACATTTTTATTAAAAAATTAATATAATATTAAATAAAAAAATTGTTTTTTTAAGTTTTTTTTTTAATTTATATTAATCTTCATTTTTCTTTAATTAAAAAAATCATATTTTTATGTAATATTTTATTTTAAGACAATTTAAAGTATTAAAATAAAACATAATCAACTATTAAAATTTATAAATAAGTATTAAGTAAATAAAAATTATTATTATTATAAAACTTGGAAACAGAAAATGTTACATGTTAATATTATTTATTTCAACAATTTTATACTTTATCTTCAACTTTTGTACTTTATCTTTGATTTTTTTTTAAATGTGATATTAGTTTATTAATGGGTTTTTTACAGCCATAAAATTGAATTGATAAAATAATTAAATTTTATGTTAGACATGATTTTAATTATTTTTATATATAAATTTAATATTTAGTATAATATTTTTTACGGTTAGATAATTGATAAAAAAAATAATTCATATATTTTCTATATTTTAAAGATTAATAATTTATTTTTAAAATGTAAGGAACAAATCAAATTTTAACGAAAAATCCAGATAAAAAATTATTTAATTTGTTAATCTACGTAGTATAATTTCCCAAATGGCTAAATCTTTTGAACACAATCAATGATTTCTTGAAAGTTGAATACATGTTGATCTAATAGTGTTTTTTTTACAAGATCTATCATGTTATATAACAGAAATCAAGGCAAACTAAACTATGTCATAAAAACTGGTCTAATAATCTTTTTAATCAAATACTAGAAGATTCTGGAGAAAGAAAAAACATGTTCCTAAGCATATTTTAGTAAATAGAACAAACTTTTTTTTAAGAAAGTAAATAGAGGTTGAACTTGATGCAAGTCTGATGTAGATTAGTCTATAAATTTGTTGCTTGTTTATTTTGAACCCTAATTATAAATTAACAATTCTAACATTGATTATTCTGAATTTCAGACAACTTAACTTAAAAACATAATGGTTTTTCACAAAGGCAGAAGAGGATAAAATATTTAGAAATACCCACTCCATTGTCTCAATCGTCATGGTTTGCATCATCAAGAAAATAGTAGAGTTTTCTATATCATGTGGTCATTATCATCATCGATTAAACTAAGCCATTTTATTTCTCCACGTCTTTTTTATAAAAAATATTATTACCTTCAGAGATGACTCACCATGGCTGCACCTGCTAATCCCAACCATAAAAAAATTACATGATCATTTTATTCTCCAAATATCAATGCAGATAATATAAAATTTTGCTGGGAATAATCCATTACAGTGAGTTGAAACTTTTCCCACAGTGATTTTTTATTTATATATATATATAAAAAAAAACAAATAATCAATCATCCGTTTAAGTCATTGTTCATAAGCCTTGAATTGATGTATTAAAATTAAATTTTCAATCTTGTGTGATTATTCAATAATTAGATTTAAATAAAATGTGACAAGCATGTATGTATATGACTGAAATCCTTGTCATAGAATTAGTCTACTCCTATACTCAATTTTATAATTGTATTTTACCTTGACTATCATTACCTAATATACTTCTCCATTTAAATATTTTAGAACTCGATATCAATTATGTTAAGTTTCACAAGCAAGATGATATCCAACATAATTTTTATTTATTTATTGACTTTTTATATGCATTATTAATAGCTAATTTTCTTTCATTCTAAAAAAAAATTATGAACTGTTTTTTTTCAATGAGAACGGAGATATTAGTCTTTTCCTAATATTAGGAGCACATATTTCCTTCTTCGTAATAAGTAATGCACTTTTTTTAAATTAGGTAAATCAAGAAGGAAATAACTAGTAATTTAAGAAAAAACAATGTGAAAATTTAAACTAATAAATAGTTTAAGTTTTTAAAATGTAAAAATATGAATAGTAATGAAATGTTTTGAAAAATAAAATGTTACATTTAAAAGTGAAAATGTAAATTTATAACATAGACGTGGATTATCAGTTCAAACTTTGATAGTGACAAATCAAAATTTTTGTAAAAGAAATCCCTAGAAAATACAAATAAATAATAAATAAATCCTAGAGGAATGTTTGTAATTTTAATATAAAAAGCTGTGAAACAAAATTTAGCCATGCTGATAAACTCGTTTGGGTCAACTTGGTGCGGCCTTTATAATGGTCTTACCCAATTCTTCTCATTGGCCCAATCTACGAAAAAACATCAAAGGCCCAATTTGACACCAGTTTCCAAATGATAGATTTTACACTAAATCATGATTATTATTAGATTAAATATATTTTAAATTTTAGTTAATTAGTTCATCTATAAATTTTATGAGGATGAAAAATGTTACAGTAAAATTAAGTGTAAAAAAAAGACTAAAATTGCATATTATATTAATTTAATCATTTTATTATTTTTGTGATAATAAAAAAGAATAATTAAAAAAATGTTACATTTAAATATAAAAAAATTACTTATTTTTAAAATTCGGAAGATTAAATTCACCAACGTGTAAAAAAGTGTGAAAAAAAATTTAAAAAAAAAACTATTATTATTATTTTACCTTAAAATGGAACAATCCGATAAGAGAAGGGAATAATTGGATCTCACATAAAAAGTTGCACGTACAACTCGAAATTATAGAGGAGAAGAAGACGAAGAAATTGAGATTTGGAACTTATATAGTTTCAGGCAAGTAAAAGATGGAGTAAATTTTGCACCCTCCCTTCCCTTAACGTGCATAAAAATAAATGAGATACATTTGCAAGTACAGAGAGTATGTGGAATAATGGTAGAACATGACAAGACCAGAAAGAAAAAAACGCAGGAAGAGTGTACGGAGTTGTGGTGAGACACCGATGATGTTGGAATTGGAGAAGGTGGTCCTGGAGGAGCAGCCTTAGCAGCACCGTCACCATTGGAGGCGCGTGTGGAATGAGTTCCTAAGAGTGCGTGTGGGAAAGGAAATGGGGCATTGGGAAGAGGCAAGGGCATGAAAAAGCAAAAGGAATGCTGAAAGAAACAGTGAGAAAGAGAGAGTGATGACGTTGTAGGGTATTCAAGTGCCTCTCTTTTTCTGTCATGTTGTGTCCTTTTGGTCTGTGCCTTATGTTGCACTCAACACTCAACACTCAACACTTCACAACACACCAACCTCTCTCCAATAATGACACCAACCTTCAACTTCTCCTTCAATTCCATGGCTTTGTCTTGCTCCGTACATTACACACATAGGCATCACTCTTGTGTTCTGTTGTGTTAATGTGTTTGACACTTCAACTAATTCCCCTACTCCTTCCATTGCACTCTTTTTATTTGTTTTCTCCACTTTGTTTATTCCTTATGATGTATTGGTTAAAAGAAAATAGCCATTGGTATGTAAATAACTACTCAAAATAAGGAAGATTTCTTAATTATCTTCATGTTGGACTTCTTGAGTATTCATTTTTTTTTATCAGATATTAGTTAGACTCAAAGTTAAAATTTAATTTTTTTAGTGTTTTTTTATTCAATATTATATATATATATATATATATATATATATATTTTATGTTATAAATACAATAATATCCGGATGAAAGTTTTAAAAACACCTCTTTAAAGACATTATTTATTTTTTGTCCATTTTGGTTTGAATTTTCACAAATTTATTATAGGAATTTATGTTCTTAAAACAAGACTATAAACAAAAGCTCAAGTTAAGTTAACAATGAGAAAACTTGAAATTCATGTTTTGATATTAATTGATTTCATTTGTTCTTAATAACTTTACACAGTTAAATAACTTCATAAGAGCATTCACGAGAAAGCAAAAAGACAATAATCATAGTAAGACTGTGAATTAATAGAAATCATGCACCTACGTTTACTTTCTTTCTTCTTTATGATCCCCTTTGGAAATTATCATTTTATTTGAGGATGAACAAAATTCTAAGTTTAAAGTTGGTGATAATTTAATATTAGATGAATATATATATATATATATATATATATATATATATATATATATATATAATTTCATTGATAATAGAGGAGAAATAAACTTCAATAAGAATAAAAGTTCATAAAAAAAAAGTCACTTTAATTTCACCTTTATTATAACTAATTACATACTTCAGATGTTTTTTTTTTTCATTATGTTTGCGTGTTGTGTTATTAATTTCATGTTAACTGTTATAAGTATCTTTTATATTACCTAATTATAAATGAGAAAAAAGTTGTAAGGAAATTTTCACATCACTTATCTTAATTTAGAATATTTTTTTTCTTACATCACTTTGAAAAATCAATCCTTGAAAGAGAGCTTGAAGATTCAATACCATCATTGTAATTAGTTAGAGTTAGATGAATTTTGTATAATTCTTCTGGTTAATTTAATATAGTTCTTAGATATTGGAAAAATGTTTTCTCCAATAGAAAGCATGTTGATAATAATGTGCGTACAGGAGTGACGAGAATTTTCGTTTTTATTTGAGTTAAAATTATTGTGTTTTGATACATAAAAAAATACTTTATAATGCATCTCTTTATATATTTTTAATATTTATGATTGATGGAATATCATAAAGCTTAAAACTATGCACACAGTGATATAATCAAAGAGATTGCATGTTCAAAATCTAAAGTTTCAATACATTTTTAAATTACATACAATAATGAACAATTTTTTTTTTTAAAAAAGGTTTAACCCCTTGTTACACTCCTACCATCAATTCAAAACTTAAAAAAAAATCATAAAAATAATACTTTAGTTTGTTGCATTTTTTTATAACTTATTAGTGTGACATTATATATTTATTTTACCTTCATAATAATTATATAGGAGATGAAATTATTTACACACGTTCTTAGAACTACATTGTTGAGTTTACTACTCAAGAAAACATTTTAGCTCTATTAAATTAGTAAAATAAAAATTTAATTAACAATTTTATTATAAGAGACTTTCATAATATTCAATAAAATATTTAATTTCTTATTTATGAGAGATTATTATAAAATAAATTGTCGATAATTCAAAGTCACTAAAAAATTAAAAGAAGACAACAATTTTAGCAAACCTTAATTTGTAGAGGCAACATAAATTGTTGAGATTATATCTCAAACCTTAATTTTTAGGTGAAAAGAACTAATTAAGTTCCTTTGCGAGGCTTCAATCCCTTATATAACTTAGCAAAGTATCTTGTTTTAAGTTTAATGACTAAAAAATACCAATAAATCATAACTCATATCTAAAAATATGGTTCATTAACCTTTTTTTTACTATAGTTTAAGGCAAAGAAAGAAATAATTTTCAAACAATCAACTATGGTAATCTCCTACACCAAACATATAGCATAGAAACAAAAACAGTGATATATATATATATATCATCAAAATACAAGAAAGTGTAGCATAGTTACATCTAAGCCAAACAAGAAAAGGTTTATATTATCATGATGACAAAAGAAGAAAAACAAAAGTGGAGAAACGTGGTGGAGGAGCCATTAAAACACAAGAGAATAGTTTTCTTGTTTATCATTGTATGAAAAGTTTTTATTCAACCCAAAACATAACTCTAAGATAAAATGTATAAACTAGTTTAAACGAGTCTAAGAACTTTTTTGTATTAGTTCATTTTAAGTCATTAGACTTTCCATGCTTAACCATGTCTTTTTCATTTTCAACTTAAAAATTGGAAATATGGGTTATAACATTGAGTTTTCATACTAAGCTTCAGAAATCCCTAGATTTATTGCTTGAATGAGAAATAAGAAATGATTATCAATTGGGATGATATTAGAACGTCTTATTTATGATAGTCTTTTAAAGATTTATACAATGTGGTATTGCACACGATTTTTAATAATATTAATATTAATAATTATTAATACAAGAAAATGATATAGTGATAAATATTTCACTAAATTACTTAAATTACTAAATGAAATACGTCGGAAGATAATACTTTGTTCATTCATTACTATGAGGAGAAAAATGATATTGTATTTAACAAATATGAAATACAAAAAATTTATATTTATTTTGATTTTGATGATTGAATATTATATAAAACAGAGTTTGAAATATTAAATAAGTGTCGAAGATGTAGGATATTACAGTAGAATGTTAAACTGATAATTGTAATCATAACATCGTACAAAAGATAATTTTGTAAATATATGAGATTTCTAATATATGATAAGTGGTTACATTGTGAAGTTGATTTATGACGGTAAAAAAATTGATTCTAATTCTAAAATCTAGAAATCATCCAAAAAAAACTTAAAATTAATCTTACTTAATCTTTAAAGTAATTAACTTTTAATAACTATTACAATTGAATATTATTATTGATAATTGTCATTTATAATTTGTCTTGTACGAAGAAAAATATATGATTATGATAGTAGCATAAATTGATCAGAATATGACAAAAATATCATATTACCGAGATGAGATAAAAGTCGGTAATGAATTTGGAAAAAAAAAATCATTTGATTTTATCTCACATTAAACATCAATGTCCTTTTATTAACACAAATTATTAGGGTTGATTTTATCAGTCAAGACTTTGAGACCAGCACTTTGTTAATATTGAAATACCCATCGCTATTAGCTTTACATAAATATATCGTACTGATCAAAAGCCAACAATAATCTTCTTCTTTTGTGTGTGTGTGTGTGTGTGGTGTTTAAATTTAAATTCAAAGTATCCAAGTTATGACCGAATCCATTATTTTTATATTTGTGTCTAGAAATATGGAAAAAGGAATTAAAAAGTATTTAGGACTTTTCATCTATTTAATAAATATTATAAATTAAAAATCATAGTAACGAATAATATTTAATTAATTTCGCAGAACACATCCAGTCGCTGAAATTCGTTTTCTTACCGAGACTTTAATTATTGTTTGACGCAGATACGAATCATTAGCAGCCGTGTAAACTCAATTATTTGAACAGAATAATAATTAATTGCCGACTTAAATAATTTTTTGCTCAAGTTTCAACTATATGATGTAACAAATTTGAAAACAAAATTGACTTTGAACTAAAATGCTGGGTTCGTATCTCTTATATAAAATGAAACTGTGTTTTTATTATACACCATACCTTTTTAATATTAAAATTAATTTTAGGCATAATGAAAGAATTGCAGAAAAAAATAAAACCAATGTTATTTAGGGCAAATTATCTGACGCTATCATTTGAACTTTTGATTGATAAGTATCTTCACAGAAAATGACAGTTCCACATATTTTAATATTACAAATCAATAAATGTTGGAACATTTTCTCGATGACTATATCCTCTTTTCAACAACAACTCGTTTTTACAGAAAGAATTAATACACATACTTTTGATGCGCAACAAAAATTAAATTATTTCTCTATAATTGATTTTTTTTTAATTAATGTAATTGATACTAAAAATATTACATGTCCTAGCATATATATATATATATATATATATATATAATATATATATATATATATATATATATATAACATTTTAATTTGCTATATAACTAATAGGAGCTAGATTAAGGAATATTAAAAGTAAATAGATTTATTAAAATTTTAAATATATTTTTTTATAATCTTAATTAACTTTTACTTATACTATATTATTATATTTATTATACTTGAAAATAAAATTGAACAGAAAAGTTAAAAAAAAAACATTTTTGCTGTTTTTTCTGACTTATTATAATAGAAAAAAAAATATTAGATAAAATTATTTTAAATAAGCTAAATGGTAATTCTATTTTTAAATAGTTCAAATAAAAGGTATTATCTGTTTCATTGAAGTTGTTTTGTTAGTATTGTTTGTTTAAACTATATGGACGATTACTAAAAGGAAAGAGTGAAAATTAGATTATATATATTTTAAGTTAATCTATACAAAGTTTTTATATATTAACTTTTTTTTTAACTCAATATAAATAGTTTTTAAAATTTATATTTTAAAAATGTTTATAAAGTAACTTATCCAAACATATTCAAATCCATAAATACTCGTGATAAATTCATTGGAAATAAAAACAAATATTAAAATAAGCCTCTTCTATTATTATTGTTATTATTAATATTAATATATAAGCCTGCAATGTTCATGTAAGCAAATTAATTTATATTGGATAAAGTTTATTCCGACAAGAAATAATGGTTACATGCATGTATAATGCATGTTCATGGAGGCTATTTGGATAAAATGGAGGAATTTAGAAGCAGAATATTCTGAGTATATTTGGATATGTATTTCCCAAACACTTCTGAGAACATAAATAAAATAAAATTATTGTGTCCGTAAAATAAATGTATTTCATAAAAGAACAATGGTCTTTTTAAAAAAAGGGAAAAAGGAAGAATGGTGTAATTCATGTTTGAAAAGGAAATTTAAATATTTAATGGTGGATATATAGATGCTGCTAATTGAACTGAAATACGTAACTTTCATTACCAAGAGGTCGGTTTGTCTGGATTAAGATCACACTAATCTACATGGTAAGCTGGACTTTATATAATATATGCAAACGCACTTATCATACAATTAAAGCTTATAAGTGATGCTGACTTATATCATCTTTTTTTCGCACATTCAAACTCAAAAGACATACATTTATTCAAAAAGCTCGCAACTTGCACATTACTAGATGCTTTAAGAAACCCAGTATTCCTCTTGAAGAAAAGGACACCCATGTTAATGAAGAAAAATTGTGACTATAAGTTCATTTATTTTAGCTTCTGTTGATCACTTAATTTAAACTAAAAACAAAATCTAGAGGAGTATGTATTTTTATGTAGATATTGTGTATGTAGATATTTTTTATGTATATAATACAAGTTAAATTTAGAGGAATATTGTGATTAAATTGTACAACATGTATTACTTTTAACAGCTATTTAAAGTCACTGCTTGGAACATTTAGATGAAAAATCCGAAAAATCCGTTGGTGTTGGTTAATGACAAGGCCTTGTTACTAAATTCTACAAATACATAGCTTAAATAATTCTTTTAATTGGATGAACTTAGCACAAGTCGATAAGCAATTTGGAGGAGGTAGAATATTCCATTTTCTATCAATGTTCACCATGTTTCAAATATTATCATTATATGATGATTTAAGAATGCTTCAAAGTCTTAAACAACACTTATTTTCCACACATTGAAGGGCCACACGAAATCTAAATTACTTTACATTAATTGGGCATATGAATTTGATAACACGATAGTAATTAATGGTGTGATGTGAAAGAGTAAAAGAAAAAAATGTTATTAACAATGAGTGTAGATGCCAAGTCAACTTTCTATCTCTCTCCAAATCTAATTTTCATGAAAGAATAAAATATTTAAAAGTCGATTGTCGCATTACGAAACAAAATTTCTTCTCCAAAATGATCAAGACATCGTACATTTGGTTTACTTATATTCAGATAGGAAATTTTATATTATTGTCATTTTAAATTGTTTAAAATTTTTAAATTTTCTTTATATAAGACAATTCAAATTTATCGTATTACAAAATATAATTTGCGCTATGTCGTCTTGTCTATATATTTGTTATTCTAAACTTTTTTTAAATAAATCGTTTCTTATGTAAAAATAAAATAAAATCTTAGCTTAAAGAAATAAATATATCACATAATTTTATCTAGCGTTTTTTTAATAAGAACATATTATTATTAACAGTACTCTAAATTAAACTTCGAAAATTTATTCAAGCATAGATGGAGACCCAAAATATCTTAAAATAATCTTATGTTTGACGTAGTTGATATTCTATAATAGATAACTACATATAAAAGATGCTTTAATGCTCATATTAGTAATAATTTCACTTATATATATAAAGTAGATATTGACGATATCTATGAAAGTTACTAGTTTAAATATATGATAACTTTAACTAAAGTCAAAGAGTTATGTATTATTCAGATAATCTTTAGTTAGTGGTTACTCTTAAAAAGAAGAGTTTTTTTTTTTTTTGCTAAGTGAAAATTATGCATACAATTTAAAATTATATAAAGCAAAATAAATATTAATTTTTATTATATTTAAAAAATTTGTTAGTATTTTTTATTATTATCTTCATTATTTTAATATTTTTCTTCAAAATATAATCTTAATAATTTATTGGCTTTCTCTGTAAAATATAATTAAAAAGATAAAGACATAATTGATAATATAATCTTAAACTAATAATATATATATTTAAAAAAATTCAACAAATTAATGGTTAATTAGAAACAGATGAAATATATATAACAAAAGTTAAAAGGTTTTTATAACAACCAATTTAACAAGTTGCTACAAAATATGTTGTCCTGAAATAATTGAAAGACGCAGGTTGAGGTGTTATTTAGAACATGCAATTGATTATGTTGCGTGTGAATATATATGATTGCTACGGACCTATTACAATTTATGAATGTCAACGCTGTTCTTCCAAGTTCAGTTTCGTATTAGTATTTCTTATTTTTATTTGTTGGTTTGAAAAAAAATAATATATATATTATTGTCACATGGTGGAACTCGTTTTTAAAATTATGTCATTTTAGAAATGTATGATATGTATTTGATGAAATTCACTTTCTTACAAGAACACGGCTCTGATTTGTTTTTAGTTCAATATTTCATGACTTAATCCTTCTACTTTTAATAATTTGAACTAAGAGTAAGTCCGTACTTTGCTATTATTTTGAAAACTACCATTTTTTTTTATGAACTTAACAAGCTATTTTGTGCGTCTTCACATATATCAAAAGATATGCCAAAGCCTTCTACGTACACCTTCGGTTTACTAAATCATTTTAAACACAATAAATTGAAAGCATGAAAATAAAAAAATATTAAAAATTCATGTGCTCATTAACTTAATTAGCTATCAAATCATACAATCATATATAATTTATATAAATAAAGAGTGCTAAATTATATAGTAAAAAGTGAGAATATTTAAATATTAAAAGAATAAGAATATTTAAGTAAAAAGTAAATTTAAATTTACAATTCAAATGTTTATTTAATTATAAATCTAAATATGTTTTTTTAATTACAGATAATGTGACAGAAGCAAAAGTTGAAATGTATAAATATTTAATCATGAATGTTTATTTCTTTCGCTCTCGTGTGTGATTGCATATTTGCCTTCTCCTAAAAATGAGTAATCAATTGATACTTTTCCTGTACTGGCCTTATAGTTACGGTTATATATATTTTAGGTATATATTTGATAATTTTAATTTAAGTAATTATTCCACTCTTCATTACTCCACTGTATAATTATTTTTAGTATAGTCATTTAAAATATTGTTATGTTTTGTCGGAAGTAATGTTAACCTTTTTTTTTTAAGTCACTCTTTTTATTTATTTATAAAACTTAGATTCAAAATATTGTTTAGAGAAGGAGTCCACCTCCATTATATTGAACAAATACATAGGTATTTTTAAGAAGGAATTATAAAGTACTTGAAATTAAAAAGAAACAAAATATAAAATTGGGATGAAAATAAGAGGTATTGATGAGGAAACACAAGTTTCTAGTAAGAACTATTTCACAAAATTGTAAGCAAAGGAACACAGTGCAGTTGTTTCTACAATGATTGAGAAATATGTTTGTAGAGGAGGAATGAATCAAAGGAAAATGGATGACATGTTATGTGATCAGACTCAAGGTGTATATGAAAATTTCAAAGTCTAAAATATACAATTAGGTCTATTAACAATGTAAGTCAATTGCTTAAAAATTAAGGGTAATAAGTCAACTCTTTAACCCTATTGTATTAAAAGTAGAGATACAAAGTCAATCAATTAACTAAGAAATGCAACATTTATATTTATATATAAAAAAAGAGTAAAAGGGTGTATTTATTCATCATAATATATGGAAATTATAATTCCTTTATTAGATTATTAAAGTGAATTTGTTTCTAAAGTGTAGGAGTAAAAGAACATTTATGTAACATACTAAGGCTTCATTTTGGAGGGTTTAGGCAGCATGGATTGAGGTATAAACGACATTTATAATCAAAATTTAATTTAGTATAATTTACTTTTTTTTTATGAACTATAAAATTAGTTATAAGAAAATTATAATTAAATATATCTAACATGTCACTCTGAATATGTAAATTAATTTATTTATATAATATATTATTTGATATAGACCATCTTTAAGTAATATTTGACTCTAATTTTTATTTTAAAACACTGTTTTCAGCCGTAACAATGTTTGAAAAAAGATATCAATAATATTTTAGAAGAAATTTATGTATTTTAAAATAATATAATGTAGTATTTGGGAGAAGTTTGAATTTTTCAAGACATCTTTATTTAAAAAACTACATTAATATGCTATTTTTCTGTCAGTCCTCCTACAAAGTTTTAAAAATAAGAAATCAAATAAAAATGAAAAAATATTTAATAGTTTAAAAGTATTTTAATTATATTTGTAGTCGCGTGGAAGTAAACTTCTTTTGGCTTTTTAAAATTGCAAATAAATAAATAAATAAATTAATTTCTCAAATGTTTTAAACTTATGCTTTAAATCTTCAGGTGACGTGACTTTTGAAAGTGGGCAAGTGTCAACTCTAAGTACTTCCACGTATAGTTATTTTTAACATGCACTTTAAAATTTCTGAAGTAATTTTTTAATTTAAGAAACAAATTATATTTATCCAAAAATTTAGAAACTAAAAATTTAATTAAGTCTTTAAAAATTGTTCATTTTGACTTTCAAATAAAGATGTAGATCAATATAATTGCTATACAAAATTATCACTACGAAATTAATCTTTATTTAAATGACAATGGTTTTACCAAAATATTATATATATATATATATATATATATATATATATATATATATATTAACATAAATCCATCTACTGAATTCAAATCCTATACTAATTTCAACAGTGTTTTGTTGTGAAGTAAATACAAAATTACTTTTATCTTTTTAATTAAAAAAGTCAGATTATATTTAAATGATTTACAGTAACACTTACTCATTAAATTAAACAACATGGATTAAGTGAGTATTTTTTTTTACTATATTTTATTTTTCTGAAATAAATCAGTCAATATTTTACACTAATTCTTTATCTAATTTTCTATAATTTTTTTCTTTCCGCTCAACTAAATATACTCTAGCTGTATGTTTGGTTTAGTTTTTACTAATGCGTTTCAGGATATTATTTTAAAGTAGGTTTTTTATTTGATGCAAAATTTATTTTATTTAAGTGTTTATATAATATTTTTTTACTATTTGTGGGATAACGTGAAGAATTGCAATCCACAACCTAAAGAGGGTTGTAGGTGGAAGTGAGAATTATACGTGTCAAACTCCCGTACGTTTGCAAAATAACATTTTTATGATATATAAAAGTTCCTTTTTAATATAAATATTTTAATATAAGTCTTACCAATATAAATTTCTGAAAAATTGAATAAATATTTATAAACATTTTTATTTTATTTTAAAAATTGATGTTTATAAATTTGATATCAAAATAATATTTTTAATGATAATTTTTTAAAACAGATATGTAAGGAGATAGAAGAAGTCATTTTATATAATATTAATTCTTTTTATCAGTAGAGCTTATAAAAAAATCATAATAAAAAATTGGTAAATACAGTGAATACGCAGTAAATACTTAATACACTGGAATATGTTTTTAGATATTGTAAATAGAGCATACTTTAGTTTTAGTCTATTAAATTAAGACAAATTACTTTATTTTTTATCAATAAATATGTTAAAAATGTGTTTTTTATATTTCTCAATAATTTATTTTATTTGAGAGTCTTATTTATAGAAATAAAAATAGCACAAAACATATTTTTTTACTAAACTGTCAGGTTCAGTGGATAGTTCAATTTCTTTAATCATGTAAGATACAAGAGTGAAGCATATATTGAAGTTTAAATATGCTTTTTACTTTTCTAAATATGAAGTAAGTTTTATTTTAAAATCTGTCTTGATAAGTGTCTATATACATTTTACTCTTATGAGTCACCATTACAAATTGTTATGTGATAATTCACTCCAATTTACATTATTATTATAAAAGATCTCTTTTCAAATATTCATTCAAATAAAGAGTAACTTAATTTCAATTTAAAGGATTAAAAATTGTTTAAACTTGTTTTAAACTAAAATTTTAATGGTTAATTTTGTCTGTTCAAAGAAAATTTTATATTATTAACTAATGAAAACTCAAATTTAAAATACTTATAGTAAAATTTTATTTTATATAATATTTTATAATCCAATAATAATATAAAATATTGGTACATAATTTGTTTTCTCAGACTTTGTATAATTTTCTTGTTTTTCATATTTGTTGTGTATTGTTTGGATGTTTTACTCTAAAAAAACACATCGAGTTTTGTTTGCTTGGGCAATGTGCAATAATGAGTTTTTGCAATGAGGAGAGAATCCCGAGGAGAAGATTCAACCAGAACAGAACTTGTCTCTGTTACTGTTTCTGTTAATGTGATTAGAAAGTGGAAATTCCTTTTCCCACGCGCTCCAAAGTGCAGTAGAATTATCAGCAGCTTCTGTCACTCTCAGTGTCCCTGTCTGTGGGGTCCCCTCCCCACTTTGATCTTATCAAATCCACCTCTGAATCACTTTCAAGTCCGCAAGAAGAAAGGGAATGAATGCCAATGGCGTTATTTTTATATAAAAAGGGGTGTGCTGTTGCTGTTGCAGTTGGCATGTATAATAGTAGAAAACCAAAGCTTTGAGTTGTTGTGGTTTGTGTTGTGTGGACTTTTTTTGAGTGCAAAAAAGACAAAGTGCCACCCCTCTCTCTTTTTCCAACTTTTTCTGCCTTCTGGGGTTTTTGATTATCCATCATTATCTATTTTTTTAGTTGGTGGGGAAGTTTCACTTGGCTTCTTTCTCATGGAGTGTAACGAATTTGTGTATGGTGAAATTCTATGACTCCACTCCAGTCTTCTGTAGAAGTGGTAAGCATCATCGTCATTAGCGTAGGGGTTGTCTTGTCAGTTACTGCTCAAATGTGATGACTCTTTGGTTGCTAGAAAACGAATCAGCAAGAAATATAGGATTTTGGTTTATGGGTTGGTTGTTTTATTCTGAATTTCTGAGTAAGTAGTATCATAGTGGAGGTTGATTCTTCATTCATAGAGTTGACTTCTTGTTTTTCCTGTAAAATTGCAAATTTTGCCCAGTAATCAAACAGATTTTCCTGTCAAATTCTTGACTAAAGTTTTGTGCTTTGGTGTTACAGGATGTGTGTTCTTCTGTGTTAGCTGTTTTGAGGCTTGGTTCTTAGTTAGGGGGTTTTCTTCTAAGGGCACTACCTCATCGGAGTTTGGCTGCAAATTGCCTCAAAATGGCACAAAAAATGGGAGTAGTGAGCACTTCTGGTCGTCATTGAGTGTGACAGCACGGCTCTTAACACATACTTTCTCATAGTTTTGTGTTGGATGAGCCAAGCTATGGTTGTTTTCATGCTCCTTAGTACAGCAGGGCCACCGATCAATAGAAGAGCGGGTTTGAGAATTAAGCAAGCTGGTAGAGGTTCATACAGAGGAAGCTAGGTGTGTGTTTGAAGTTGTTATTGGATTTACTTTTGTGTTCCTTCTTTGTTTTGCGTAGTCCTGGAAAGTAGAACAAATGGAAGCCACTTCCATAACGCCGTTGTTGAAGGGCTTTTGTGATCACACACAATGGAAATATGCTGTTTTTTGGAAGCTTGACCATCATTTTCCTATGTAAGTTCTTTGTTTCATTGTGTTTTTGTGCTATATGCCACGTTTTTGAAGGGGTAGAATTGTTAACAGTTTTCTTGTTGTGTAAATGATTGAAGAGAATGGTAGAATTGAGAATCTGAATGATTACTCATGTTCACTTTAATGGTTTAATTATATAGTTCTTTAAAAGAGATGAAAGTTAATTGGATTATTAGCTTTAATTTGTCTACGCTTCCTTATATCTTATCGAAAGGACCGAGATAAACTTTTTGAAAAAGTTATTATCTAAAAGCTTCTTTTTACCCCTAAAATGTTTGTGAGAAACACAATCTAGTCTCTAGAGCCTCAAGGTCAACAACCCTTTGATCTAATTGAAAATTAAGCGCATTACTGAATCAGTTACCATTCAAGCAAATATTGAACTGTTCTAAACTTGTAGTTAACATAATGAGGAAACTCAGTGTCCACCACCCCATTTACTCTGTTACTTATCACTTGAAATTGGCTTAATGGTATGTTGAATGAAATTATATGTTTGCTGTTTAAAATTTGAGATCTTGTGTACATAACAAAAATCTATATGTTTTAGGACTTTGACCTGGGAAACTGGTTATCAGAAAGGAAATGAGGTCGAAGAAAGTATGTGGGATGACATCAAAATCAAATCCCCAGATGAGTTATATTGTTCAAGAGGTGATAGTACTGATTATTCAGGAGATTATTCAGTTCGACTACTCATGATAGAAATGTCTCATCGTAAATACAATTTGGGAGAAGGGTAACAACTTTTCTTTTATTATTCTTTATGTCTAAACTTGTTGCGAATTGCTCCATCTGATTCAAAGTAATCGTCATTTTAGAAAACTAATAAAGAAAAACATCAAGTTCCTTATCTTATTTTATGCTTGTCTTGTTTTGGAAACGATGAAAGTGAAATGAGAAGACATTAGTGGAGCAAGCTGTTAATATAGACAAACTAGCTTATATTCTCTTGGAATTGAGAACGAATGATGGTTTTCTTAGTCCTTGCAGGGAACCTTAGGCCATAATTATATAAAGAGTAGAGGTTATTTACTTCTTTAGTTTCCTCAAATTATTCTTGTACATATTCACATGACTGGTGTGCTCCCAAACATAAGATCATCTATGTTTTATATTTTATAAAATTCTGATTGAATGTTTCTAGTGGTTCTGCATGTTACTTTCTTTGTGTGAAAGATGTCATAAAGCTGCTTTATATACGTTCTCTTAGAGAAAGGATAGGTTGCTAAAGTAATTATTCTATTCTTGTGTACCACAAATGTATTTGTGCTAAGATCTGTAAAGATGATGCAAGCTAAATAAGTTGACTTGATATTATTCATTCAGGGTTGTTGGCAAAATAGCTCTTGCCAGGGATCATTATTGGGTTTCCTGTGAGGATATTCTTACCAGTAAATTTGACACTGATATAATCCATGAGGTGAGATTCTATACTTATAATTTCCACTTAGAAATAAAATTAATTAACCATACTTCTTTGAAATAGTTAATAACAGCAATCTTCTCCGTCTCCAGTGTCCTGATGAGTGGCTTCTTCAATTTGCATGTAGTATCAAGGTATTTTGCCATACCTTTATATATTTTATTTGCACTACAAATAGGATTTTGATTTTGATTTCTACTTTCTGGGTATAGTCAGATTTTTGCATGTGGCCTAATCAGTGTGCTAGTGGCAGAAAAAATCAACTTATATTATGCCTGCCTCAACATAATATTTATGCACTAAATGAGGGTAATTCAAGCTAATGTTAAGTTGATAATTTGAATTTCTTTCACAGACTATTGTGCTGGTACCGGTTCCTCCACTAGGGGTTTTACAGTTTGGTTCATTTGAAGAGGTACGTACATATTTTGTAATTGGATCCTGACCCAGACAGGCTGTGGCTTTAACAATTAAAGGGATACCCTGATGTATGCATATATATTAATCCTATCCACACATTATGGAAATCTTGTTCCCTATCTTAATCTTGGATTTTTTTCTTAATAAGATCTTAAATTTTGTGTGACTCCTCCTTAAATAAGCGGTGCACTTTAGACGTTAAGACGTGTTGAGCTCTAACAGTTAATTTTGCATATTTGCTATGGCTCATTTAGGGGTGTTTCTTCATGCACCCCGTAATTTCTTTGGTGCCTTTCATTCATTCTGTGATGGGTTTTACGGAATGTATTTTTGAATTCCAAAAAGCCAATTCTGGAATAAATGAGAGGTGATCTAAGAAATATATGGGGTCTAGGAAGTGGAATCCTTTTTCAGGAGTATGTGTTTGTCTTGTTTTCATTTTTCACATATCTTAAATGTTTAGGTATAAAAATTGGTTTCTTATTTGTTTGTTAATTGATGCAATTGTTTTTTGTGATTTGTCAGAGCATTTGTAGTTTTGTATCATATTTTGGCTTTATGCTTCATATGATTACATGGTGTTTTCTTGTCCTGTCATATTTTAGGTTGCTGAAGACATGGAATTTGTTACCAATGTCAAAGATAAACTCCATTCCATGCATTACATGGAAGCAAATATTACCCCTTTTAACATGGGAACTGATTATCAAGATTGGTCATTCTCAGACCTAATGCATAATTTGATGGATAGGTTGGACGAATCATCTTCTGTTACTAAAACTATATTTAAAAGTGAAGTTTCAACCACTACTGCTTCACACAGTGCAAATGGTTCAACAAGGCTGAACTCAACAATGCTATCATTTATTCAGGATGACTGTGCTGTGTCTGGACAAAATCTACTCAAATCTCTGAAAAGAGAAAGTGTAAATGAGATAGGTTGCTCATCGATTGATATGTCAACTGTTCCTAGACATATTGGTAAGATGGAGACAAAACCAAATCACATGGAAGAAGAGATATGGTCCTGGTCTCAATTGGTCCACAACGTGGGAGTTTTTGAAGAGATGTCAAATGGATTAGACTCTTTCTCTGTTAAAAATATGACACAACAACAATTTGGAGGCACTGAAAGTGGTTATGATGATGATAAGAATGTGAATGACTTCAGTTTTCCCTCGGAGTCAGAATTGCACAAAGCACTTGGATCAGTGACTTACTCTGTTGGCAATACATACAATACCTCATGTCTGATAACCAGTAAGAAAGAGAATGATCATATTAAAGGTTTTGATTTTCCCCAAGATCTAGATCCAGAATATCTTTTAGATGCTGTTGTTGGCAATTTATGCAGTGCCACTGATGATACATCTAGTATATCAAACAGTATCAGGTCTTTTACAACCATGCCAACAGAGATTAGTGGTTCCTTTCAGCCAAAACACAATTTGGAAGAAAGCAGTACTTTGATTGTAGATCATTCAGATGTGAAAAATGATCTTTTGCCTGCAGTTACGGGCAAGAGAAAATATGAATTTTCTGATCATTTTACATCATCTTTTGATGGAAATGAAAGCTCATTGATTGACGAGTTGCAACAGGAAAAGGAAGATGGTCATATGCTGCCTATAAGTGGACCGAAGCTCTCTAGCACAAATAAGAAAAGAATAAGGGTTGGTAACAACCAAAAGGCAAGGCCAAGAGATAGACAGCTTATCATGGACAGAATGAAGGAGTTGAGAGAACTTGTCCCAGATGGTGGTAGGGTAAGTTTTATGTTTCAGGGCAAAAGCAAATTATTTGATTTCCCTTTTGTACTTGAAATTTTTAACTTTGGTCTTATCTTATGGTATGCAGTGTAGCATTGACAACCTCTTGGAACGGACCATAAAGCACATGCTGTACTTGAGGAAGATAACAAGTCAGGCTGAGAAACTGAAACGATTTGCCAATCGGGCGGTAAGGCATGCTTTGTTTCTGAATACTTAAAAGCAAATGTTATTATCTCCTGCACTAGGAAATTTGTATTTGTTGTCTCACCAAAACGACTTTTGGCATGCAATCCGTTGTGTTTGTGTGCCTCATGGAATCTTCATATTCATCCTTTAAGCCAAGACATTTGAAGAGAAAATGTGTAAAGGTTGCATTTGAAGAAGATCAATTTCATTTTTCTTTGTTGTTAGTCCTTAAGGTTGTCCAAATATATCCTTGTTTTAATATGTTCCTTAGGATAGTTTATGAAAACAATTTGCAACTTGAATGAAAACAATTTAACACTAGTGTCTCTTCCTTCTATTATGAAAAAACTTAAACGTTTGCATAATTAGCACTTAGTTCTTAATAAGCTTAATGTCCAAATGCACCCAATATCAGTTTGAACAAGCTTGAGCTTGACATGGACAAGTTGGTGTCTAGGTCGCTGAGAGCAAAAGGCAGAAAATCAACCGGAGTCACCCGGGAAGGAGCTGTGCATTTGACTTTGAGAGTGAACTAGCATGGCCTATAGTCATAGAAGATCTGGAAAGCTCAGGGCACATGCTCATAGAGGTATGCTATTTCCTCTCCATGCTCACTTTTCTCTCAAAACAAATAATAACATGCGAACTTTACATTTATTGAACTGCTGCACCACTTTTGTAATAGATGATATGCAATGAGCATGGGCTTTTCTTGGAGATCGCTCAGGTGATCCGGAAGCTGGATGTCACCATCTTGAAAGGGATCTTGGAAAACCGTTCTAGCAGCAGCTGGGCTTGTTTCATTGTTGAGGTAGCCAAATATGACCAGCGTTGCTCTATCTGCCTATTTCTGAGATGTATTTTTTGGTGTTGATCATATTTCTAGAGGAAGATATTATTCTGTATAATTAATTCTTGATATACATTTGAAAACGTGCAACAGTTTTTGGTTCTCAGTTTGGTATGCTTCAAACTCAGTTTGGAGACTAGACACAGTTTCAAAACATGTTTGGTTGCCTTCACAACATGTACATAGTAAAATTTTGTCTAGAAACTCAGTTTTGTAAAAGCAAAATGAGGATTGCTTTTGCAACTTCAGTTTGCAATTTTAGTTATAACACAGTTAAGTTACACTTTATACATGAGGTAAATTTATTTATAGCAAAGTACTAAGCTATGTTTCCTTTGACATGCACAGGTTCCAAGAGGTTTTCACAGAATGGATATTCTATGTCCTTTACTGCATCTTCTGCAGCTTAGGAGAAACCCTATATCGTACAAAAGCTGACCCTTGCATGGCAGTTCTCAGTTTCAAATGGCAACTTCTATTTAAAGAAGTAACAATAATATTGCAGAGGCACTTTTGTATGTGTTCATGCTCTCGTAGTGTAGTTACTATATTTGGTGTTAATGATGAGCTATTACCTAAACATGTAAACAAAGGATACTTTGTTAGGGTGCTATTGGCTGCGGAAGAATATGCCTAGCACCTTTCTTTGAACTCATTTCTGGTGTGGCATTATAATTATGAACTAGAAAAGTAGATAATTAATTGACTATGAGAGTGCACGCGAATCCGTGGGTCAAATAATATTCCTTCCTTTTCAAAAAGTCTACACAAAAGTGATTAATGCAATAATATTTTACTCACTGGTGCTCAAACTTATAGAGCTAAGTGAAGTTCATAAGGCATAATATGTAACTGCTTTTAACATGATCTACCATAAAAGAACTTCAGTATAATACTAAAAGGAAACAAATAATTTTTTCCTTATCATATTGAATGAAGTTGTGTGCACCAAGCAAAAGAAAGTAAAAGTTGGTAGATCTTTTTCATTTCAATCTCAGTTAAATAAAATACTTTAAACAGGGTTCGGCAAACAATGTTTAATGAAATCATTTTTAGGAATTTGTTAACAATATATATTGTTTAGCACGTAGTTTGTTTATCTTGAGTATTTAGTTTAACCTATTTAAAAAAATTTCATTCTCTTCAAATATTTATATCGATTTGTACCTTATTGTAGTTTTTTTAATCTCCACAGATATATTCTTTAACATGATCTCAATTTAATTTTTATTTTAATATACTAGAGGATAAGAAAATTGAAGAAAATATCATTTAATACCCAAGTTTAAATAATCCACCTGTATAGCGAGATAATACCTCATCTAATTTACCGTTTTCTACAACTTTTCATTCTCTTCAAATACTAGAATTTTCAAGATTATAGTCTAAATGAAACTAATTTAATATATAATTTTCATTCTTTTCAAATACTAAAAATATTAGGAGTTAAAATAATTTTTCAAGATTATAGTCTCAATGAATCTAATTTAAAATTTAATATCTAATAACATAAACATATCTTCTCGAGTATGTCATTCTCTTTGAAAAATGTTCTGCAGAGTACTATTGAAAATATGTAATTCAGCACTACTGTATAAGAAAATATGTAAAAAAATTTAAATACATTAGTGATGCTTAATTTCTTTACATTTAATACTTTATCTTATTTTAACGCTATTAACTACTTTATACGTTCATTACTTTTACAGTTAAAGTTTTTAAATTTGCTACTTTTACTTGCTTAGTTAATTAAAGATTAGGAAAGTCTGGTTGCGCACAAACAAAATATAGTTTTGAAAATTATCTTAAGTAGAAAAAATATACATTTTGGAACCGATTAATATGACTGAGAACCGATTTTCTATTTAATTATAGTATGGTAAAGAAATCAATAATACGTACATCAATTTCAAACCCATTTTATTTTAATATTATTAATATATATTTTATTTTATTTAAATTATTAAAATGATTCACCTACGACTTATATAATCTCGATTAAACTAGTACTTCAACCGTGTTAATGACAAATTCAAATTTAGAAACATTGATAAAAATTGCGTAATTTTTATGTTAACTTAAATGTTAGGTATATCACTTTTAAATATATTTTTTAGAAGTATTAATTCATCATTTGAATTATCACATTACATCTTCCAATTTATATATATATATATATATATATATATATATATATATATATTTATTTTACTTGAATTGAATCATTCCTCTACCAAAAATGCTAACTCTAATTTACTTAAGTAAATTGGTTGAGTTTAAACACCGTTATATTACAGGGAACGAATGTTAATAATAAAGGAAATTAATTACTTACATTGAATTAATATTTTAATCATCAAACAACGTTGGAATAAAAAAAGTATTAACATGTAAATTACCGATGAACTCCACCATTAAACACAAAATACACAAACAAAATAGAAAATAATACACTACTTTGAACCCACTTAAAAAGTCAATGAATTGCTGAAATGAGTACACCAATGTTAGCATGAAGGATCTAACACTGAAAAGTTTTTGACTCACAGTGATGCTTATAGAGGAAATAGTAAAGAGAAGGATGAAGAGAACAACCCAACTGGGTTGGGTGATTTTCTACTTTCACTAATGAATGTGGACTGGTCACTAACCTATCAAAAATGTGCGGCCACCATGACGATAATGGACAGATGAAGTTAATCGGTTTTATCAACCAGCAGCAGTGTATGCCACCAGCCACAGGCAACATTTCTTGGCCGCCAACCAGCAATAGAAACTTGACCAGGAATGTTTCTGTCAACAGAATCTCCCAAACCAAGCTGTCCAGGTAGGTAATAATCAAAATAAACTCAAGCACCAATATTGCCACATTTTTAATTGTTACCAAAGATATTGGGAATACCTGACCGTATTTGTTCCAGCCCCAAGTGAATAGGTGCCCATCAGCTTCAATATGAACAGGAAACAATAATAGTAAAAATGTGTCAAACATGATACAGTTTATGATTGACTTAATTTTAATAGAATTTACACAACTACATTAAAAGACTGGAAATTTGTTCTGGTGGAGATCTCAAAGAGGATTATACTAGGCAGCTTAGCCAAAGAATGTGCATGAGCCATCGTGTGATGATTCTTGACACGCTTTCTTTTACTGTTTTGTCTATTCCGTGAATATAAAAATGCACACTAGGATTGGTTCTATAAGTTCCCCTAGAGCATATGGTAATAGTGACATACCTGTTAGCAAAGCACTGTGACGAGCCCCACAAGAAACTATACTAGAATGCCTATTCTCAAAACGGGAAGCATCCAACTGTCTGGGTGAGGTCTAAACAAGGAAATATAAATAGGCAAGTTAATTTTCAGCTATGTGGAATACGGTTATCTATCTCCTTAACAATCTCAAAGACTATGTTATGAATAAGCAAATATTTGGGTTTAAAACCAAATAACACAACATAAAAACACATAGAGCTATCGACTGCCAGATAATGGGGATTCATAATATATCATTTCTAATGTTAGAATTAGCATCATCTTTAGCTGGTATGCGGAGAGGTAAAATAACAGGATATATCTTTTTCTTACAGAAAAACAAAAACCCACGTCAGAGATGAGAATGTCTCATCCTTCCTTAAGCATGTTGCTACATTTAGGGTCATATCGTTCACTTTTGCTTTTCCATTTCGCAACCAAATTCCCTAAAGCCCACTTGCATTAGCTCTTCTGATTCTTTTTTGCCAAACCTAAGCTTGATTCGTCAGAAAGCTGGGGCTGGTGCATTTGGTGCTCCAATACGTTTGAGAGCTGAAGTTGTAACAGGAAGGCTAAACCTTGGTTTTTCATAGAAACCAAAATAATTGGAGACTTTAACTAATACCTTTATCCATTGTCACATTATACGTTAGTAAATTATAAACCATTGACTTGAAATTTTTTAATCTTGGTGATGTTACTCTATTAGAATTTTTTAAGTCATAATACCCAGCGGGTAATATCAATAATTGAGGATAATTAAAGGATCACAATCCACAGTCAGTCAAGAGATATATCACATAGTCTTTATGTGGTTGAAGGGTGGCAAAATCTCCAGCCATTAGCTTGCTCAAGAAGTGGAAAGGCCCCCTGGCTTATGATAGTTGTAAGGTGACCGGACCTTTTAAAGCCTTTAGATGTTCCTGAGTTTGGGGTAGCCCCGAACATTAGATGAGGGTGGAATGTGACTTGTTGCATCGAGTTGATGTAGTAGTTCAATACAATTAGGTATATTTTGCAGACTATTTTAATATAAACAGAATTCTTGAAATCTTCATAATTACAATTATGAATGGCTGGAAAGGGAAGTACTTCGACAAATTAAATCCTTCTATGGCATTTATTCTTTAGTTATTATGTTGTTCGTATTTTCAAAGTTATGGAATTCGTGTTTTATTATTTTTCCCAAATGACTCGTGCTGCTGTATATTTTTTTCAGACTTGCACGTTATGTTTGGGTTTGTTGACACCCCAGCTTTTATGTAGTTCAATTCAATTAGGTATAACTTGCAGACTATTTTACATATAACCAGCATTCTTGAAATCTTTATAATTACAATTATGAATGGTGTTAGAAAGGGAAGTACTTCGACAAATTCATTCCTTCTATGACATTTATTCTTTTAGTTGTTATGTTGTTATTATATTCAAAGTTATAGGATTCATGTTTTATTATTTTTCCCAATTGCTCGTGGTGCTGTATATTTTTATCAGATTTGCAGGTTTCTGTTTGGGTTTGTTGGGACCTGTTATCTTATCCAGAGACTGCAGCAATAAAGCTGCAGGTGGGTGACGTATAATTGAATGCACATAGGCCTATTATGCTTATGTACAGGATTTCGAAAGAAAAATTATTTGCATCCACATGTACAACAAGTGCTTAAGTATTATGAAAACTTTGAGGAACTCCTCTAGTTAATAAATGATAGGCTGGCCAGGTAGAATAGGATTTGGTATTAAGCCTGTGCACCAGTCAGGTATCTTTAGTTAACAGAAGTAATCTTCAAAGCAATGCACCACTTCAAATAATGACACAAAGCGCAGCAAACTTAAGTAGTTACTAATGTCAGTTTCTATAAGATCTGAAGTTAATGTTAACATGGGTCCTACCTAACACAAAATTGAATCTAAAAGTCAATATCTATTCTAATGGAGACAAAGAGATCTCACAATTAAGAAATAAATACCTCAGGCTGGTCGCTACCGGTACCCAACTGTCCAAACTGATTCCCACCAAATGCATAAATTTGACCATTTACAGTAACACACAATGTATGCCAAAGTCCAGCAGCAACTTTTTGGATTCTCGTTCCCAGAAAAGAAGGAACTAGAGTTGGTCTCAGCTGATCAGCATTATTCCCTTGTCCACACTAGAGGAAATTTACACGCAAAGAGGTAAAGAAATTTAAGATAAGTCTCTTAAATGTTTTCAGATAGGCCACTTAATGTTTTACAAAAGTACTTAAAAATTAATACGAATTCCTCGCTCTGGCAATATTTTATTTTTGAAAGGCATATATTACATTCAAAAGCAAATGGTGCGAGGTAAGGAGAAGGCAAACTTCAAAATAAATCTCTTGTCCGACACATACTGGGCAATGTAAAATGGATTGGATGTGATAACAGTGACAACAATCGGAAACTCCAAAACAGTTTTCAAAAGTACCTCTGGTAAAGCTAAATTTAATATGGTACTTATCCAAAGCTTTCTAGACACTTTAAAAAGAATCTATAAATAGTTCCCAACAATCTCTGGAGCATGATCAAAGTTTTTTTTTTTTTTTAATTTATAATCCTAATGATTCCAACTATAACTTAGGATAAAGTTAGGTATACCTGAGCGTTAATTATTGGATCACCCATCCAAAATGATGGTTTATTAAAAGATGTTTTTTGCTAAACCCAATTTTTTTGTCATAATATATGTATTTAATCAAACCCACTCATTGTTCTTACGGAATGTGAGATGCCAGCTTCTTAATTTCTTATCACAAATATTCTCGTAACATTATACCAATATTTTATGATCTCCCATTATATCATCTTAAAAAGAATATTAGTGTTGTCATTAAATTTTTATTATACTCTTAATTCTCTCCTCATATTTTAGATTTTGTCGTGAGACCATGTATTATCATATCCTTTGACAGAAGCAGTAACCGAGTACTACCTTCTCCTTACTGATATTAGAAATTGCATAAGACGAACATGAAAAATATTCAAAAGTTACGGCAGCAGACTCACCTGGCCATACAGACCCCAGCCAAAAGTAAGAAGGGCACCAGTATCTACAAAAGGAGTTTCATAAAAATTGTGAAAAATTCTTACAATTCTCAAAATATAATTTATCCCATGTAGGATAATGCTCGTACAATATTTGAAACATTTTGCAAGACTACATGACAGCTATGTATACTTACTTGTTATCACCACACTATGCCGACCTCCACAAGCAATTTCCACCACATAACTTCCAGGAACATTTGAACCTTGAGCTCCAGCATCACTTCCTTGATGAAAAACCGAGGATTTATCCTTCCCAGAAGCAGACTCAATACAAGGTATAAGATGAGGGGATGATACCATCTTTACTCGGGAACCCAATCCTAGCTGTCCTTCACCTCCATAGCCCCAACCCCAGACCTGTCCGACATCTGAAAACTTCGGTAAAAATATGATGCATCAGGTGTCTTGCTTTACATCAAAACCTTCCATATCTTCATACCTCATTGAACCTACAAAACTACATAATGTAACCACAAGAGCCAACTATCCCTAGAATCTGAGTCATTATAGCACACCATACATATACACGAAGTGAATTACCTGACAGTGCCAAGGTATGCCGCCCACCAACTGCTACAGAAGTAATTTTCACTCCATTACCAAGGCTCACAACATAAGGGGACACAGTAAAGAATTCATCTCCAGATGCTTGACCGTCAGAGTCCTGTCTTGTGAAAGAGATCTTCCTTCTCTTCACAACATCATCTCCCACTTTCTTGTCAGGATGAGAATCTGATCCACTGCTTGTGTTTGAGCTTTGAGGGCTTCCTGTTTAACGTCTGAAATTCCATTAGCTCCCTGAAATGAAATAAAAAAACTTTCTTTCTGTTAAATTATTTTTGTTGTTTGCAAAAGTAATGATTAGCACCTTGATCGGCTATTGATGAACTTTGTTTCCTAGAAGCATCCTTTGGGAGGCTTCCAATAGTGATGAAATCAGTAATGACTTTCCCTGATGGCACACATTCTTTCCAGCCCCATGCATACACTTCACCTTCGCCTGTTCACAAAGCAGTATACTCTTTATCAAAGTAGTAGTGTTATATATTGGTCATGGCTGTGCAGGTAACCTATGAAGTGACTAATTGTCCTTAAACATACTATAATGAAGTTAACCATAAATGCCAAGTTGACCAAGTCATAACAATTAGGTTGAAATATGTTATGGATCCCTCTATTATCATAAGATTTACTTTTTGTATCACATTTTAAAAAAAGTTGTGATCTAGACCTTGTAGGTTTTCTTCCATTCTCATATAATCCCTTAATTAGTCTTCCTTTCCAAAACCAGTGATTTTTAGAAACACCCAAAAGCAAGCAAAATATGGCTAAAATAAAATTTTAGCCTATTATTACATGGTTGGCCAAGCATGAACAATTTACATTGTTGCCTAAAACACAATTTTCACATTTCAAAGCTAACTTAGAGTGGGCTTTCTTCACTTAAAATTTAAAAAGGCCGCACTATAAGACACAAATCTAATGATACACTGAAATTTTCAACCATGTTTCATGTATATCGTTCGAGATGTTGCATCCATATATGTTAAACTTTGTTTTCATACCAAATATCTGCTTTGGTAATTTCATATATAAATTTCAGTTTTAAGTTCACATATCATTTAAGGGAAGAAAAATTCTTTCAGGATTTATACCTGTTTTAAATTGCATAGTTGGGTTAGTCAACCAAAACTTGTGATGAAGGCCCGCATATATTTACTAAATATAATACTTCGTTTTTTATAAAATGTTAAAAAAAATGTTTGCAACCATAATATATTTATAAAATTGCATTTTTAGTTAATAGTTATTATAGGTAGAAAGAAGCCATATATATTCTCACTCACCATCTCTTATATGTACTTCCTATAAATAAATATCACAAACTAGCTTTACCTTTTAGTCCTCATATATCTTTGCCAACAAATTTTCTTTCACTATGCTCGATTCCAAATAGTTTTAAACTTTAAATATTCACTAACTTTTATTTTATTATTATTCCTAATAATCCTCTCTTAAATACATTTATCTTGAATCTTATTATTGTTAAATGCCAAGACAAAGTAATTTCAACCAATTGAAGAACTTACAAAAAATAGCATTATCATTTGTAAAAGATCAACTTCAATAATCAGGTTATTTTGATTACAAATATTTAATTTAAAATTTTCTCTATCAGATTATTAAAAAATGCATTTTGAATAAAAAATTACATCAAGTTCAGTAGAGGCTTCTGGCTACCTAATGTACTCGGGCCCCTTAGTAGTAAGCCATCCTTGTATACAAGTAATAAGGAAACACCAAATATTGAAATGAAGGATTAGTGGGCAAATAGATAGAAATAGAAAAACACTTTCTATTTTTCTCATCTTAGCATTGGAGTTCCAAGCAACCCTAACCTGTCATGAAAAAAATGCTCGAATGTATATATATATATATATATTCTATTTTTAATCATCATACAAGTATATGACGTTGCTTCTAATATTAATTGAAATTCTGCATTGCTGCTTGTTTAACCCCTTGCAAAAAGCAAAAGCTACGCAGTCAATGAGTTTAAATAAACAATGCCAATTTCTATGCAATCAACTATCAATCAATCAATAATATACACACAAAGTTTACTGTAGCCAAAAGAGTTTACACATCTTTTTGTGCACCCGAATCCAATAATAAGATCAAAATGTGCTTGGTTTTATGCTGTAATCAGCTTAAACAATCTAATTAAAAATCTTGATGACTCGACCACAGAAGTACCACAGTAGACAATAGTTTTATTTTTTTTTTCTAATATATTTGTTAAATTGGTAACGCAACCAGCCATATTAAATCAAAATAAATTACAATCCAGCAAGCACGGAATCATCCCAAACACAAGTACTAAATCAAGAAGGGACAAAAGACATTACCAGTGACTGTAGCACAGTGAGCCCAACCAGCAGCAGCCTTCACCACTGAAGCCTCGGCGGGAATCTGAAAAGCCCCTGGAATCTCCTTCAGAAAGCACATGCATCCAGAACAAGTTGCAAAATCAATTCCAACTACAAATTCACACCAGAACCAAGCCCTACGTTAGAAGACTAACTGCATTACCCCATGCTTTCCCGATGTCAAGTAGCTCTGGTTTTCATCATCCGAAGAACCCCACGTAATGAGCTTCCCTTTCTCTGCACAAATCATAAATCCGCTTAGAAATTAACTTCAAAATAACGTTAAACTAAAAGCCGTTATCCAGATTCTAACCGATGAATCATGATTGAGAAGATTAAAAAACAGTTCAAGGATCTGCTTCTAACGATTTCAGATCTGGAATATCTTCTAGGTGGTTTAGTAAAACAGAGTCAACAGACTGAGAAATCTACCTGAGATGGCTACGGCGAATCCGCAACCACCGCCGCACACGTCCTGCCACGAATCTCCTGCAAGTGCAGGGTCGGAGAGGGGCACTAACACCGGAGACAGTATCGGAGATTTTTCCGGCGAGGCTCCGGGAAGGTATCCCCACATGTAAACCATTTTCTCGGCGCATCCTTCCTCCACAACCACCACCTTCGCATCCTCCGCTGCTTCGTTTTCGCTCATGGCTTGGAAACTCCGATCCGAAACGACAAGGCGAAAGTTTCCAAAAACGACAAGACGAAAGCTCCAAAACGCAGAGGAAACCCCGTTAACTCTTCTAGATACGAAGAACGAAACGATACCTTCACACTGAGTTCGCTGAACCGAAAAGGAGAGAATGAGAGAAAAAGATGAGGTTAGAACCTTGAAGACAGCGTATCAATTACAAGGTTATAGCAAGCGCCACGTCGGATGATGACGTGGAGAATGGGACACGTGGCCTGATCAGAACCGCATCTACGGATTTCGTAGTTAAAGGCAATGGTATGGTGTGGAAGGTTCTGGAAAACGGAGGGGACCATTGTCGCTTTGGAGGTTCATCTTAGAGTGACGCGTGTCTTGTTGGGCATAATAAATTTTTGTATTTTATTACGGTAGATTGAAGTAATGATACTTTATGAAATGATTAGTGTCTAGATATTAATTAATTAATGAAATGCAATTAATGGACATTTAGGAATGTTCTAGAAGTTATTTGAAATTTGAAAACTAACAAAAACAGATAGTAGGGTAGGTTGGACCTAATGCTCGGCCAGGAAACAGCCACGTTTATATGTGTCAAATCTCTTTTTATTTTTTGTAACTAACATTATCTCCCTGTCTTGTTACTAAAATTTGTAACAAACCCTTACTTTCATATAATTGAAATTTATAAAAAAAAAGTTCATTTTGATAAAAACAATATTATATATATATATATATATATATAATAATTTTGATATAAAATTATTTCTAAAATATTAAATATTCAATTAAAGAAAATATTTTAAAACAGAAATATTTTTCATGTAATAATTACAATAACTTAATTTTAATACAATTAAAATATTTTATTTATTTTTTATGCATAACTAATTATTAAGTTTTTAATTATTATAGATGAATAAATAATTAATTTTATGTTTTATGAATTAGTAAATGATATATATATATATATATATATATATATATATATTAATGTTTATGGTTTTAAGTGTAATATGAGAAAAAAATAAGGCTTTTATAATTTTTTTTAAATTAATAATAAAGAAAATAATTTGAAATTTAAGTGTCGCAAGATTTGGAGAGTTATATTATGAATCCACGTTTAAAAAGATATAACAATTAAAATTAAGGAAACAAAAAAAAATTTAAGTAAAAAATTAATGAAATGATTAATAATGTATAAAGATATATTATATTAAAATAAATATATATCATAAATATAATATACATATATATATATATATATATACTGAATAAAACTATTAAAAAAAAATATACATATATATATATATATATAATTTAGAATTGAATTATTTTACATGATTTGAATATTTATTTTCTTAAAATACAAATACAGCTACTAATATTTAATCTTAATCATTAGGTTAAAAAAATAAAAAATAATAATAACGAATAATATTTTTAGATTGTTATTAGAGAAAATTAATCTATCCTTAATTAATGAATAAATAATATAACAATATATATATATATATATATATATATATATCATATTAATATTTTTTTATTACATGCACTCTTATTGATTTAAATTTATTCATAGTCACACAATATATATACAAAATACTTCATATTTAATTAAGAAAAGTTATTTATGGATTGATTTTTGGAGTATTTAAAATATAATTATTTGACATCTTTTATAATTTTATTTAATTATATTTATTTTAACCATGTTTTTGAAATAAATGGTTATTTTAGCTCAAATTTAATTTTTATATTCTCTTATATTTGATTTTTATTATTTATTTATTTGTTTATAGTTTTTAAGGTATTAGTTGAAGGAAAAAATTGGAAGGTTGAAAATTTCTATCAACATTAAAAAAAAAAAAAGATAAAATGAAATTTGTTGGTTAGACAGCACTTAAGTTCTTTAAAATATAAAGACTTAACTGACCATTTTTTCGACAACATAAGCGAATTCTTGGAAAAAAAAAAAAAAAAGGTTTACGTGATAAATTATATAACCCATGGACTAAACATTCAATTCTTATAAAGGTAAAACTCTGAGATATAATTGGAAACCAGATTTACTCACATTTGCCAAGAATTAAAGCTCCTAATAATTAATAACATGCAGGCTTATGGCTTATGGGTGACAAATCAGGTTTTGATTATCCCGTTTTAATCCAACTCCCTTTAAGACGTTAAAATTTGGGTGGAGGGTTAGATTTGTTAACTTCACTCTCAAATGAGATAATTTGTATTCAATTTTATCATGATAAATTTATAAAATATTTTGGATATGGTTAAAAAGTGTTTTACAATATAATTTTATTATAAAAAATTGTATTTTAAAATGTGATTTATTTTTTAATTTAAAATAATATATATGACTTTAATATTTTTTTTATATTTTTTCTTAAAATCATATATTAATTGATGAGTTATGTATACAAGAATTTATTTTTTTTATCGCATTGGTATATAACTAGTTAGAGAAATTGTCTTTGAAATCACCAATGAAGGACTTTTTAGTTAGTTTTTTTTTAATAGTTAAAAAATAAAAACAAACTTGATCCAAACCAAAACAAATTTGAAATTTATCAAATTTCATCCGAAAATCAAGTATTTAATTTTGTGTTTTAACCTCTTTATTCTCTCAAGAGCACTCTCTTTTGGAGCATCTATCTCTCCATTCTTTCTATCCTCATCTCTCTTTCTAATCAATCCACCAAATACATCTTTTTGTGCAATTTCAATCTTATCATCATCATGATCACTTTCTTCTGGTAATTTCCATTATTAGACTGAGATTCTAGTTCAACACCCACAAACCCAACTTTTTCTATCTTTTGTCATTGTATTGTCTGTTGTTGGGGCTAATTGCGTTTCATTTCATCCTCAAGGATCCCCAACTTGTCCTTCGCTTTATCAAGATTCCCAGTTTGATCCTTCTACACCAGTTATTCAGGTAATACAAAATGTGCCTGGTAAAACAAGAGATTTAAGATTAGTGTAAATCCTAAATATCAAGGTTAAAGGCTAACAGAGAAAAGTGAATATGAAAATTCAAAGTATAGAGAGACACTTCGCTTAATACAAAGCATTTCTTTCAAAGTATCTTCATTCCCATGTTGAATCTCAAATTCGTATCACTTATTCCAAAACTCTTCATCTGATCTTGGATTTGCAAACTGAGATGCAAATACATTTTTTTAATAATTATATATAAATAAATAAAAACTAAATCAAGTTGTCCATAACTTGTGTCTTAAAAAAAAATCTCCAAGTAAAATTGTGTATCGACTTTAATAAAAAAAATTATCATGTAAAGAAATATTAATTAATATATAATTTTTAAAAAATATTAAATTATTAAAGTTGTGTGTTAATATGCAACTTCTATATAAAAAAAAATGTTTGGAAATACAATTTTTTTCATAATAAAATTGTATTTTAAATCACGAGTTATTTGTATTCAGAATTTTTTTTACATTTATCTATATTTTGGAAACTAACTGAGAATTAACCCAATTGATAAATCAAATTACAAATTTTCATTAGTCAAAAAGTAGACATTGATGAGTCCGTATATACGTTTTAAAATATATTATTAATTATATAAATATTTTTAAAATTATTTTTTTTATTAAGTAATAATTTTTATTGGATTAATTAATAAAATTATTATATTTATATATTAAAGTATTTAAATGATCCTATTCAGAGAGTAAAAATTGAATGACTTTGGGATCAACTAACAATATTGGAATCTACTTGCTAGTAATAGTAGTGCTTAACTTTTGAGAGGTGTCAAACCAGTTGGTTTTTGTAACTTTTATTCAACATAAGTCTCCAAGGTTTCCCAAATATAAACTTTATTTTTTGACCATCTACTGCAAGATTTAAAAAGTGTGGAAGATGGATAATGAAGACCTTGTCTTATCCCAGCATATTTTATCCTGTTATCCATGAGGTGTCATATCACCTTATCTTTGTATTCCATTTTGTATAGAGTTTTCAGATCCAAATTTTATTTTAGGGTAACGTAGATTTCAATTCCATAATAATTTAAGTTTAATTTGTTAATATTTATCATTTAAATTAAAATATTATAATATTTACATATTATAATAATAAAAAGTATAATATTTCAAATTGTAATTTATTTTATTTTAATTTTAATATACATATTAAAAAAAAGTTATTTTTCCTACTAAATTGGTGGATTAGACTGTAGAAGTTTAAGCGGATTAATAAATTAAAATTATTAATCTAACCTATCAATTTGAGTTTATGGAGTTATTAAGCGAATTTAAAATGTAGCTTTAAATATTATTATTTGATTGATGTTTATCAATTTTGTAATATAATTTTAGACATTTTTATTCTTATTTTGTATCTAACCTATCCATTGCTCTGATTAGGGCATCTACACTCAGTTGAGTAGGAGGTTGCGATACCATCCTATATCAAACACAATCATAAATACAAAACAAACATTTATACATACTTATGTATTAAAGTATAAGCACAACAACTTATCATAAGTTCACTATCCATCTCCACATATTTATAAGGATACTACCGCTTTGATATCACTATTATAACGACCCTAGAAATCATTATTATAATGATGTCTTCGCAAAATAGTGAACAAGTAAATAATAACATCTATATTATATTATATTATATTATATTATATTATTGTAGTTGTAATATAGACTGAAATCTCGGTTCATCGACGGAACCTCAAAATATAGTATCACAACTTATTTATATAGATGCATACAAAAGTAGCTTCCACAAATATCATCCTACTGAACTATTCCTGTTGCCTAGTAGTCGCATCTCCACCTCTTAACTCCCGATCTGCTCCCACATAAAAGTGATCATCGCGAGTCTCATCCACATGGAAAAATAGGGGTAAGTATTAAATCATTCGATATAATAAAACAAATATAGAATTAATAATTACATATTATCATCAATTACAAATCATCAATACACTAAGATGCCTTCCAAAAGTCTACCCTAACTATGGCCGAACTCAGAGGCTATCATCTGTGGGCACATTGTGGTCAACACTCACAGTACCATCCTGACCACCCTCCACACAGAGTGGGATTACTGACGCCCTTCATCACTCATTCTGGAGTACCCCTCCGAGCACGCCACTAGTCATCTCCTAATCGACTTCTCACCACCTGATCTCGTAGTCTACCTGACCCGACCAATCAGTGAAGTCTGGGACCTCATCCGAATCCTCCGACATAGTTAGTACACTAATATACTCTGTACCACCCCGGTACCATTTAAATACAACAATAATCATTTACATCTGTCTGATTCTGGGTACCAACCCTCACGGCTCATTCGAGGCAATAAATAATAGTACTTGACTAATTCTGGGCACCAACCTTCTGGCTCAGTATAGCCAATACATAACATCTCATGACTGATTCTACACATCAGCCCTCAGGCTCAATCTGACCCACATACGTCACAACACACTGCTAATTCTTTAAAGTTTTTAATTTCATTCTATATTTTAATTATTTTTCCTAACATACCATTACTTATTTCTAAAATTCCAATTATACCTTTAAACATTTTCTATTATTCATTTTTCATCCTAAAATAATTAAATTACTATTTTTCCCTTAATATTTTCTTAAAATTCCATGTATGTCCCTAAATGACTATTTCACCCTTGGACATTTTCTATATTCCTTTCAAGTCCCGAAAATGACTATTTTACCGTTGGACATTTTTATTATTCCTTCCATGTCCCAAAAATGACTATTTTACCTTTGAACATTTTCGAAAATTTCATTTATGTCCCTAGGATGTAAAATGACTATTTTACCCTTGATCTTTTTCAAATTTCTTCTCTTATCCCTTTCTTCTTCCTCGCTCCAGGTATGTGACATCCTGGACACTGAAGAGGGCGGGGAGTGATCGTCGGTGCAGTGAGCCACGGACAATGAGCGGCTCCTAACAGGCTTCCAGCAGAAGGGTCATATGAATGAACTGAAACACACCCGAAGCAGAGGGATCCAGAGGCTGTATAGGTATGTGACTATACAGTTGAAGGATAGCTTAAAAGAATTATTGGTACTACCTATACCAACAAAATACATTTCTTTTCGGTGGCCTATCACATAAGAACTCCATAGTTAAGGTGGAAAGTCTCGTGTTGGGTTGTGGGGATAGTTGGCAATTTCAGTTTTTTTTTTTTTTTTTAGATTTCAAATTTTCCAGTTTCAGACAACCAAACTAGTTTCAAATCCAAATTAAACCCTAAACATGTTTAATTAATTCAAAAACAACAATTTTATCATATAATTCATCCTTAATTTCAAGAATCTCAACAAAATTTCAAGTTTTCAAATATGAAAAAAACTTCAAAATCAGTCGTTCAAATATTCAGATTTATACTCTTATTCCTTATTCACAGAGTACCTAACAATTCAGTCTCATATATTGAATGAATTAAACTTTCCCTTACCTTGTATGATATTTCTACCGAAACTTTCCTACTTAATCTAAATTCTCTCCTGTTTCACCGGATCCTGCATGAACAAAGTATCGTTTACTTGGAATTTAAACGAAATAAAAAGAAGAACGAAGAACGCTGGGAGGGAGAATCACTTGCTGAAATTCATGCCTCTTCCCCCCTCTTCGCTTGTATATATAAAATTTTTTGTAGTGTAGAAGAAACTTCACTATGAAGCTTTTGCGTTGTATAATATTATTATAATATATAATAATAAATAATAAAAAAGCATACATCACACTATATAATTTTATTTTTTTATAATATACATAGATTTATGTGATCAATTCATTTAAGAGATGCGATCGAGTTGAAATTTATTTGATTTGTGACTTAGACACTATTTATACCCCACGCATCAAACCTATATATTTTTGTTGTATTTTATACTTCGACAATCTAACTTTATATTTTTAATTTATTATTGAAACTATTTAGTTTAACGATTTATTTTTGCATTTTCTGATATTTTATTAATACCTAAATTTTTAATACTCACTGTAGTGTAGCATTCAAGTTTACATTGTAGTTATTAGCAAAAGGCAAGGAGCAGATAATGGCAAAGGCAATAAATTTAAGAATAAAGCAATTATGTATGAAATTAACGTAAAAATGATAAAAGGAAGTTTATATTAGAAATATAATAACCAGTGAAATACAGTATTTATAGACAACTGCTCATAATAAGTTGTTCCCAGTTTATACGGACAAACCAAAGTTGATGGAGATTAGTGTTTTGGGCAATATTTATTTATTTATTTTGATTATAAAAAATTAAATTATGGATCCCCCATCCACTGTTATAATCTGGCCAGTGATGTATGAAGCAGCTGGAAGGCAAAGGAAAGCCACCATTGCTGATATGTCCCTTGGTTCTCCAATGCGACCAACTGGTGATTGAGACAGCAGAACCTCCACATTCTTCTCCACTTCAGAAGAATCCTATAACAGAAACAGTGTCAAGAGTAAAAAACAAAATGACAAATATTTTAGAGTTTATTATTCTGATTTTTGATAAATTTTTAATCAAACTTCTAATTTTTTTACTGATTGATTCAACACATTAACAACTAACAATACATACCATTAGAGAATCCAAAAGTTGGGTCTTAACGAGTCCAGGTGCCACAGTATTTGCACGGATATTATCCTTTGCCCATTCCAATGCTATATTCTTGGTGAATTGATTCAAAGCTCCTGAGTAAAAATTATATATGCATGTTGACTATCTTCTGCAACTCCAATTTAACACTATGCTTTCTAATTAGGTGGATATACAGATATGGCAACATACCTTTAGAGGCTGCATAAGCAGAACAAATAGGAAAAGCTTTCAGGCCAGAAATTGAGGATATGAATACTATGTTCCCGTAGCCAGATGCTTTCAGAAGCGGGTGCGCTAGTTGACAGAGGTGGAAACATGACTCAAAATTTGTACCCATTATCGTTGCTACATCTTCTGCAGTGTAATCTAGGAGGCTCTTAGTTGAAGCTGTTCCAGCATTGTTTATCTGTAGAAAACCATTTACCAAGTCAGTTCTACTCATGTAACCATGTATCGGGTAATGTAGATCTCTAATGGTGGAGACTTGTAACAAAGAAAAACAATCCAGAAAATAACAAGGTTAGAAATGATCAATAAAGACACTTTATTATAAATGAAAACAGAGGCATATATACATTATATGTGTAACTGAAAATAGATTAACATGAAACGTAACATACTAACAGCTACTAACAGTTACACTAACAAAAACATACCAAGAACTTGAACAAATTGGTTTTTTCTTTTGTCCATCGGTAATCCAAATAGTCCGTCGATAAAAATTGTCGGTCAAACAATTTTCGTCAGTAATTAACATTTTTTTTTTCGTAGTGTTTGGATATGCATCAACAAAATTAAATTCCTTAGAACAAACATTTCTAAAAGACAAGTTTAATTCAGTGACCAATCATTTTAAAGATCAAATAATATATTTTAATAAATAATAAATAAATATAAAAAATAAAAAGAAATATAAAAATATGAAACATCAAATTATAAATATACTAATCAATATATTTTATTGGAAATTTAAAATGATAAATATACGTATAAGTTCTGGGAGACTATGAGCCTTCTCACCTAAAAAAACCTACCTTCTGCATACCAAAGTTTTATCATCCAACATAAAATTCACTGTAACCGATGCTATGTTTTGTTGCCTTCTTGGGAAGTTAAGTCTGAACTTTGAACATAGAATTCTCTACAACTAATGTTATAAATATTTGCACTTCTCAAATCAAAAGATGTGGTGTGGTATAATAAATAGTGTATGTTATGCAGACACACTTATCTTTTTCAATAACAAGTTAAAGGGAAAAGTTAATATAGCATCCAAGTAAATCACCTGATCTGAGTTTTAATAATGTATAAAAAGTTGATCTAAATGGGAGGACCATACCAGAATGTTGAGCTTTCCATGAAAGATGGAAGAAACATTTGTCATTAAATTTTCACGTTGATCTCGAGATAGTACATCGCACACCGACCCTGTTATGCGAAATCCTTTGCTATTCCATTCTTCCAAACATTTATCAATATCTTGTTGTTTACGGGCACATATATGCACTGTTGCCCCAAATTCTACCAACTCTTCTGCTATTGCGTGACTAATTCACGGTTGAATAAAAACATAATTATAACAAAAACAGAAATTTATATGAATATAAGGAAGTAAATAAAGAAATTAGAGAATTGAACAAACCCAATGCCTCGGGTGCCTCCGGTAACTAGAGCTGTCATGCCATGGAGCGACCAGCTTCGGTCTTTGAAGAAACTCAACTTTGTTTCTGCCATTTTTTACTACTTCTGAGAATCCTTCAAGCACAAAAGTTAGTGGTGCTCATTTTAGGCTTAGGAAGTAAAGTGGTGCTCATTTTTAACCACATGCATAATGTAGATAGTGTTCTACTTCCAATAATACAGATAACCACTTTACTTTCTTCTACTTCTCTATCCTTTTTAGTTAATGGCCAACCTTGTTCATTAATTTTGGGTAAGATCATATATTATTAATAAATAATAAATAAATATAAAAGATGATAAAAAATAAAAAGAAAAGAAGAAAAAATTATAAATTTATAAATAAATATATTAAATAATTATTAAGTTTTGAGAAGAAAAAATTATAAATTATAAGAGAGTTATAAAATTAAAAAAAAATAAAAATAAAAATATTATAAATATACAAATAAATATATTATATAATAATTAAATTTTAAAAACTAAAATTATAAATTACATAAAAATTACAAAACTTAGAAATCATGGTCACTTTCATTTTTAAAAGAAAATCTATTTCTGATATAACCGTGAAGCTATCCAATAACTATCCAACTATACCCTCGTTATTCTCTTCAAATACATCTATCCATAAATTCTATATAATAATATATATATATATATATATATATATATATATATATATATATATGAATCTTAATATCTGTTATTATTATTAAAATTAGTTTTCTAATGATCATAGATTAAATAACAGTTGTCTACGTATCAATTTTCTTTTCTATAGCCAGATAACCAAATTTTAAACGATGGAGAGAAACATATTATATTTTCTTTTTAAAAAACGTATTTTACAAAAAATAAATTAAAAGTATACTTTTAAATAATTATTAAAAATAATTTTTAATAAAATATACAATAATTGTATCTAAAACATATATTTTAGAAAAAATTTAATAATAATAACTATTTATTATTTTAATTTTAATAACTAGTAATTCTAATTCATAATATTTTATAAATTTAATAAATATTTATTTATTATGAACACAAAATTTTTTATGAATAAATATAATTTTTGAGTATTAATTATTATGAATACAAACTATCATTCAAATGATTAAAAAGTTGTAAATTATCATTATATCTGTAAAAGTAAAAATATAAAATATTTATAAATTTGAAAAGAACAAATTATAATTGACAATAAAAGTTTTGATTTTAATAATTTAAAACTAACAAGTTTTTCTCATTTAATTTTGTAACATTTAATTTTGTGAATTTTCAGTTGGACTAAATTATTGGAGACTTTTTATTTACGACTCCAATGGACGTCACTATTTTAGCTATCACATTAACCATGAAGGCTTTCAATAATTTCCGCACACTGCACGTTGAAAGCATACTAGTAATAACCAAACATTGTGTGTGGTGTCCATCAACCAACACGTGGGATTCCAACGTGCAATGTAAAAAGAACGTTAATATTTTCCATCGGATTAGTGTCGGGCCGTGAGTAGTTCCGCGATCGAGAAATGTGTCCAGTGTCGTTGGATTGGATCTACGGCTTTGGTTGATTGCAACATTTGATATGACATACATCCAACGCAAAACCAATTTATCTCTAATTCAGTACGAAACTTTTAATTTTGTTTTTCTGAAATTAGATTTTTAACTCATGCAAACCGTGTGGATCTTCATTGGAAGGCGGTGCCATCGTCAAAGTTTTGAGATTTTTAAGAACTGGAGTTATAAAAATACACACTTAAAAATGTCTACAACAATAAAAAAAAATAACATAATTATAAATTATTATTTTTACACTTTTTCAATGACTACAAAATTAATTATTATTGTCAGCCATACACGTACAATAAGTATAGAAAAAAAAACATTTATAATTTTAATTAGAAGAATTACATAATATTTATAAAAGATGCAAAATAAACTCTTTACTAATCAATAATTTTTAATTAAAATAACTATAAATTAGCCATAAAATAAAGAATTTGCCTTCCCTGGTTTTCTCATAAAGCTTTTCTAACAAACAAACTTAACCTAACCTGATATTTGGATGAGAAATTTCAAAATATTAAAGAATTGAAATATTAAAATTTTAAATAATTTTGATTTATGTTTCTACATTTTTTAATATTTTGTATGAACAATTGGTTGCAATTTCTTTTATTTCAATTCTATGTATGATTTCATAAGGATTAATTTCTTTAGAATTAGATTAGAATGATAAAAATTTAGGTTCGTATGATTTTGATTACGACTGTTGATTTGTCTTTCTCTTAAATTTTTATATGGTTTTATTTTACACATGATACAAATAATTAATAAACTTTTATGGATGACCAGAATTTAGGTTTGTATGATTTTCCTTGTAAATTTTGATTTGACTTTCTCTTAATTTTTATTTTATTTTATTTTAAATTTTCTACAAAATAATTAATTAACTTTGAGGTGTCAACATGGTTGATGTGAACATGACCTATGATAAGGGTTAGAACAAGAGAAATAAAGGAAGCTCTTCAACAAATATTGTTGGTTGACCAAATTATGTTTTGAATTAATCAATTAATGAACTTTAGTTTGATTTTGTTTTAAGATGTAATAAGGACCCAATTGAAAATTTAGTCATCAGTCTTTGGGAGACCAAGGGGTGCATAGCTGATTGACTTTTGATTGCCATAGTTTCAGATACAATTAGTCATTAAGTAGTTTCAATTCCTAGGTTAATGAATCATTATTAGCCTTTATTTGTTTCCATTAAATAGTTTTCAATTCCTAGATTAATGGGTTATTATTAATATTTATTTTCTTTTATTGAGTCTTTTGTAATTCTGATGGTAACGCTTCTATATCAGCTGAACCATTTTTATTAAGAAATAACAAGTGAAATTTTATTAAGAAATATTAGAGTTTATCTCTTTTATCTTAGTGAGAGTGATTCTTCTAAATTCTTGAGTGATTCAAGAACCTTTGGCTGTATCAAAGGACTGTCACATCTTTTGTGTGTTGCCTCCCTTGGGAAGAGTGATTCTTTCCTTCCACCTTCTTTCTAATTCCTAAATTTCTTACAATGTTTTAACCCTAAAGATCCTAAATTACTCCTTGTGATTCACGTCATTTGGTATTCAGAGCTCCGGTTTAAGGGTTTAAACATCAAATTGATGGCAGAAGAGGAAAATTACAATCAAGAAGTAGGAATTAGTCCATTTCAAATGAGAGTATTGGTACAACATTTGGAAGGATTAATGATACGACATAACAATGAGCTCCATGAAAGATTGAACCGGTTGGAAAATAGAAATCCTGAAGACGAAGAAGAAAGGAGAAATAGGAGAATGAATGATGGAGTAACAAGACCAAGTAGGCTTGAAGGAGTCAAGCTTAACATTCCTCCGTTCAAAGGAAAAAGTGATCCAGAAGCATACTTGGAGTGGGAGATGAAAATAGAGCATGTTTTCTCATGCAACAATTATGAGGAGACCCAAAAGGTGAGGCTTGCAACAACAGAATTTTCTGACTATGCTCTTGTTTGGTGGAACAAGCTACAAAATGAGAGAGATAGAAATGAAGAGCCAATGGTTAATACATGGACTGAGATGAAAAGGATCATGAGGAAGCTGTATGTGCCAACTAGTTATGCAAGGGACTTGAAATTTAAACTCCAAAAACTTACTCAAGGCAACAAAGGGGTTGAGGAGTATTTCAAAGAAATGGACATGCTCATGATTCAAGCAAAGATTGAAGAAGATGAAGAGGTAACTATGACCTGATTTATTGGTGGTTTGAATATTGATATATGTGATATTGTTGAGTTGCAGAAGTTTGTTGATATGGAGGATTTACTTCATAAAGCAATTCGAGTGGTGCAACAACTTAAAAGAAAAGAAATGACTAAGAAGAGTTCTTCCAACTTTGGATTTTCAAGTTGGAAGGACAAAGGCAAAAAAAAAAAAAATGGGATTGTTACTTCTAGTAGTTCTACACCTATTCCTACAAAGACTCATTCAAAATATGAAGAACAACTCTCTAAAAAAAGTAGAGATGTGAAGTGTTTCAAGTGTCAAGGCCTAGGACACTATGCTTATGAGTGCCCTAACACAAAGACCATGATTCTTAGAGAGGGAGAATATATAAGTGAATCTGAGGTTGAAGATGGAGAAAAGAGTAAAGACACTGAGGAGGAGGAGGAGATTCCAAAGGGAGATTTATTGATGATTAGACGATTACTTGATAGTCAATTGAAACCTATGGAAGAAAGCCAAAGAAAAAATATTTTTCACACTAGATGTTTAATCAATGACAAGGTGTGCATGATGATCATAGATGGAGGTAGTTGTACCAATGTAGCTAGTGCTAGATTAGTATCAAAACTAAATTTAGCTACCAAACCACATCCTAGGCCATATAAACTTCAATGGCTTAGTAAGGATGGAAATGTGCAAGTGAGACAACAAGTTGAAGTGGACATTTCCATTGGAAAATACAATGATAAGGTGCTTTGTGATATTATTCCTATGGAAGTCAGTCATTTACTTTTGGGGAGACCATGACAATTTGATAAAAGAGTTAATCATAATGGCTTCACCAACAAGATTTCTTTCATACACCAAGACAAGAAGATTGTGCTCAAACCTTTGAGTCCACAAGAAGTATGTGAGGATAAAAAGAAAATAAAAGAAAAACTTCTTCAAGAAAAGAGAGAGAAAGAAAATGTTAGTGAAACACTTGAGAGGAAAAAAAAGTGATCAAAAGAAGAATGAAACACTTGAAGTCAGGGAGAACTATTTAGCCATAAAAAATGATGAATCTGATTTGAGGACAAATCCTTTTCAAGAGGAAGAGAATGATGTGAACATGACCTATGATAAGGGCTAGAACAAGGGAAATAAAGGAAGCTCTTCAACAAATATTGTTGGTTGGCCAAATTATGTTTTGAATTAATCAATTAATGAGCTTTAGTTTGATTTTGTTTTAAGTTGTAATAAAGGTCCAATTGAAAATTTAGTCATCAGCCTTTGGGAGATCAAGGGGTGCATAGC